AACTCTGTTTATTCATATGAAGTGATGATAGGTCAGTGAGATTACAGACTGATGATGTCATGCTATTCAACTCAGTGAAAATGAATGTAATGATATTTGTCAGTCACTTGAAATTCATTGCCATGCAGGAGAGAGATGATGTGATTCTTCACATGTTCTCTCTGTGTCTGAAGAGTCAGGTGTTGGAATGGTATAATAGTCTGTCTATTAAAATGAGAAAGAATATAAATACCTCTCTCTCTATTATCATTGATGAGTTAAAACACGAGTTTCAGCTATCAGAAGAAGAAGCTTGAATGAAAGCTCAGACTCTGCATTTTTTCTTTAAGAAGTCAGATGAACTATCTCTGATGTTATACATCTTATAAAAGATTAACTTACTGCAAGCTGCTGTAATCTCTGACCCTGTTATGATAAAGAGGCTCTTATGAGAGAGTTTAGAGTTCAATCTTTTCTTAATCACATCACTTATTCCTGCTGAACAATTGAATGACTTCTGATGATAAATTAGAGATAATGAGTCAGCTGTCTGATGTGTCTGAACTGATCAGAAGACTCAATTCACTGACTATATATATAGTTTCAGATGTTTTGAACAGAATAATGACTGCTGCCTGTATTACATCTCTCTGTCTAAGCAGACAGAAGCTACAAAGCTGTCTATGTCTACTGCAGAGATAGCAGTGATTCTTATGAGTGCTCTCACAATGAGTAAGTTGCTGATTTGATGTATAACAGAAGAAGAAAGACTGCTGATGCTTACAGCAGAGTGCTACATCTGCAGAGGTCTTCATTACATCAACTGCTATCTTAAAAAAGAGAAGAACAGTGATCATTCAGTGAATTAAGTTGAACTGAAGAGTATCAGAGAAGATGATAACAAGCTGCTGAATCTAGACCTCAGTCTAGATTTCAACAGTGAGTTGAAAAAATAATCAGTGAGATGAGTACTGAGAAGCTCATCTCATCTACAGATATTTTCTCAGATGATTATCAGAACATCTTTAATACTGATATATATGTAGTTGCAGTGTGTGATATCTCTATAAGTAATTGAGAATATATTAGTAGACTACAGTATTTGTCTTACATCTTTCTCATCATTTCTGTCATTACATCACAAGGTGATCTCTCTGTTTATATGAATACAGATGCAGATATATCACTTATTGATGCAATAATAGTAAACCTATTCTTCTCTCATTGTCAATCAACTTCTATGCTGCATGATCAATATGTGAGCATTCAAGGAGTTAGCTTGAAAGCTGATGAATCAAATCTATTCATAATAACAGATCTTATCTTGAGAGTGAATGATGATTCTCTTTTCATTGTTGAAGATGAATTTCACTTAGTGTAATATCTCAGATGCAATATAATCATAGCTAATGATGTATTATCATCAGTGAAAGCAACTATCAATGTTCACAGTGAACTTGTTACATTTCATGAAAGATATTTCATAAATGTCAAGATCATCAGAGGCACTATCCGCGCGGGTAGATGCTTATCAAACTCACAGTTATCTCAGCAGCAGAAGAAGATTGTCATTTGTATCATCAATGCTGACATCATTCATCATTCTGACTGAGAAGACCCTCTGTTTTCTATCTCATATATTGAATTACATTTGATGAATGCAGAAGACCAGGATAATCTGCTTCAAATTCTCACAGCAGATACTCTTATCAAGCAGGTTCAAGTGAATATATCAGATCACTGAGTGACAGAAGACTGAGCAGCTATTTAAGCAATCATCAACTGACATCACAAACTATTTAGCTTCAGCCTAGGCTTATTTTCAGATGATATTAAGATGTCACTGCAGTTCATTGATGAGAGTAACTTTTTCAGCCTGAAACAGAGACTCTATTCTCTGTCTTAAAGAGATTGTGAAGTCACTGATCAGATTCTGAACCTGCTTCTGTAAGATAGAAGAATTGAATGTGTTTCTCTCAGAGACAGAAACCTCATTGCTTTGCCTGCCTTTGTGATCTGGCTTAGAGAGAAGTCAAGAGTGATGATTGATTTGTAAAAAGTAAATGCATGCTTACTTCTCAATGCATACTCTCTATTAACATAATAAGATGTGTTGCAATCACTCAGCAGTTCTATGATATTCTTATTCATGAATATCTGTCAAGGCTTCTTTCAATAAGCAATTGAACAGAGTGATTGTTTTAAAATCATATTTATAACCCTGCACTGAGGTCTTGAATGTTTTACAGTTATTACAATGAAATTGATAATCTTGCCTGGGTTCTTTCAACAGCATATGAAGAAGATTCTAGTGAAATTTCTATGATGATTTGTGTTAGTCTATGTAGACAATATCATCATCTTCTCTCACTCACTGAATAAACATCTTCATTATATACAGCAAGTCTTTGCAGCTCTCAAGATGTCTGAGATAATAATGTCATTAACTAAATATCATTTCATATATCTCTCAGTGTGTTTACTGAGTCATCATGTCAGCTGACTAGACATATCTACTCAAGAAGAGAAAGTAGCTGCTATTACTAATCTAGCCTTCTCTATAATACTCAGAGAACTAGAAGAAATCATCAGTCTCTTCAATTATTATTGTGATTTTGTCAGTTTTTATGCAGATCAGATGAAAGCATTAAAGACTCTCAAGATTAAGTTACTGTATAACAGTTCAAAAACAGGCCAGAAAAGAGTATTATATACAGCTAAGATCAAGTTAATAAGATTTAAGAACTCACTGCAGTTTCATGCTCTGCTTGCAGAAGCTAGACATTTGTTTAATATGATAAAGCAAGCCTTGATGAACATCTTCATCTGGGCATATTTCAACTTTAAATGTCTCTTCATATTATATGTGAACATCAGCAAGCAAAGAGATATCAGAGTAGTTCTACATCAAGTCAGAATGAATAATATTGAAAGATCTGTTCTATTTCTCTCTCACTGATTAAGTATGGCTGAAAAGTGCTACTGAGCAACTGAATTGAAGTATCTTAAACTTATATGAGCCCTGTGGAAATTACTGCAGTATTTAGATGATGAGTTTACAGTTGTCATGAATTATGTTGCTCTTGTGTCTGCTTTTCAGTCACTGATAATAGATTATCATAGTAACTGACTGATAAATTAAGTCTTAGTTCTAAGCTCATATCTTCTATGAATGATAATCTGCTATCACAAGAGCACTGTACATACTAATACTGATACTCTATTCAGGTTGCACTGTCTAGATAATGATTCAGAAGAGATTTTCTCTGAAGAGCAGAAAAAAATTCATTAGATCATCATTAATCAGGCAGACAGATCAATGACAGACATATCTTTAGTGAAGATATGTATGATTTCAACTACAGCAATAGAGCTCACTGATGAATTCAAAAAGCAACTATACTGAGATATTCTCTGTGACCTGACATTGAGAAAGGTCTTTTGCAAGGCCAGTCAGAAAGAGTGATATCAGTCATTTACAGTGCAGAATGAGCTATTGTTCTTCAAAGAATTGCATCTCTGTATTCTCAAATTACTGATGTGAGACATTATTCATATATGCTATGACACAGCAGGTCACCCTGGCCTTCATTGAATGAAAAACCTTATTCATCAGTTCTTCTTTCTTTTCCATGCCTGAAAGAGAATCCTGAACCATCTATCACAATGTCTCAATTATCAACTAGTCAAACTGCTGAATCACTTATCAGAGGATAAATTACACTTCATCTCACTTTTAAAACAGTTATTTGAAGTTCTTTCAATTGATTTTATTACAGAATTATCTGTGAGTGATAATCATGACACTATATTGACAGTCACAGACAAATTTTTGAAAGCAGTAATTCTAATTACAGGACAGAAATAATGAGATGCTTTATAATAAGTGAAAGACTTCTATAAGAAGATGATCTGCTGCTAGCAGCTCTCACTGATGATTATTTCAGATAGAGATCTCAAATTTATATCATAATTTTGAAAGTCAGTTCTTTAACTCATGAGAATTAAGACATGAATGACAACTGTCTACAACTCTCACTTAAACAGTTAAAGTGAGTGAATCAATCTCACAGTTGAAGTCACATTATGAACACTTCTTATAGATGAATATGAAGCAAATTGAACTGCTCTGCTTGAATAAGTGAAAAGAGTGTTGAACTCAGTAGCTGTATAGCCAGCAATGATCTCTCTCTTCAAATTGCTCACAGGTGTAAAGTCTAGATAACTGTTATTAAACAATGAGAAAGCTCTGCTAGATGTAGCTGAGTTCATCATCATGTGAGATGTGATGCAGCAAGATGTTCTTGACTTATACACTTTGATAAAAGCTAGAATGACTGAGTTCTTTGACTGATTTCATTCTTAATCAACTATTCAGATTGGCAATTGAGTCTTCTTAAACCTCACTCAAAAAGCTCAAAAGAGCTATATATTAAAAGAGATATTCAAGCTATCACTCTTACAGATAGGCTCATTTCACATTCTTCAGAAAGTATCAGATGCTGCATTTCAATTGAAACTGTCAGTCAGTTAATAAATACACTCAGTAATCTTTATTATTCATCTGAAAAAGACTGTGTTAACAGAAGTGAATATGAAGCACTTATCACTAGAATTAGTACTTATTGATGATCAGTTGCAATTTAAAGTTGAAAACATCATAAGAAAGTACACAGAGAACAGTAAGACTTATCTTCAGATTAAGTGAAAGAAATATGAAGATCTGACCTGAGAGCTTCTTGAAGTCATTGCATAAGACACTCCACACCTGGTCAAGGTCTTCATGACCAAGAAGTCTCACAGTCAGCTGAGTAAATGATAGAAAGAAAAGTAAAATAGAAACAGAGTGAAAGAAAGAAAGGAAATGTATTATAATCTAATTTTAGCTATTAAATAAGAAAATAAAGAAAACAAGAAAATCATCATCTTCTACTCTTTTCATCATTTCACTCTGTCTCTTCTTATCAATTATCTTCAAGCTCTTTCTGCAGCTTAACCTCCTGCTCAGTGAGATATGTATCTCAAAATGCAATATTCACTGATAATCTCTTATTCACAAGATCACTGAAACACATCTCACTGAGTAACTTAAAGAAATAATTATTAGTCATGATATTCTCTGCAGCTGAAACCACATTGATGAACTCAGCTATCTTGTTCAGTTCCTTTTGCACAGCCTGAACAGTGTTCAGATTATACTTGTTAAGATTAGATGACTGCTTCAGCACCTTCAGATCTTAAGCTCTACAATTAATCATGCAGTCTTCAGAAGACAGAATTGATGACTGTCACACATCACTTATCTTAGTCTCATTGATCATCTTAACAGGGGTTGAACAGCTTGTCTTCACCTCATCACTTATCTTCACAGATATTGAGATACTCTGCTCACTGATTTGAATGTGTTTTGAGAGTTTCAGTGCAATCAGACTCAATGTCTTATGCTTAAAAGATGTAGATGTTCTCTTCATTGAAACTATAGTTGAATCATTCTTCTTCTCTGTATCACTGATCTCAATGATGTCATTAATATCTGTCTTCTCAGCTGCAGTCTTTTCAAATTCAGACACACTCTCTTCAAACAGCAAGTTATTCATGTTTTGTTCAAGTTCATATCAGCTACAGTGATTTAAAGAGCAGTGAAATCCCTTATTTTCTCACTGACAGTTAGCACAAGTGCCATGCCCTTGCTGTGTCTGTTTGTCATCTGCAGAAGTGATCACACATTTCTTAAATTATCTCTAACTCTTCATACAACACTGATATGATATAGAAGCTATTTCCCTGCAGGTCTGCAGAATAATGATATTCTGATTAGTGAAACTCTTAGAATTGATAGTCTGTGAAGTGATTAGCTCATCATTATTCATTCATCAGTGTAACTTTCACTTGATAGATAACTATCTTAAATCTTTAATTAATCACTGACTGAGTAAAATGAAAAATTTATGATTGATAAATAACATCTTCTCACTATATTCTGTAAGTCTTTCAATGATTGAGACAGCATCTGCAAGCCTCTTCACAGTCAGGTTCTGTATAATTGACATGCTCAGATGAGCAAGCTTGTCATTCTGCTGAAAGTGCAAGTTGATCTTATCATCATGATGCAGGCATCTCATATATACTGTGTCATATAATCAAGGCATCTGATCATTCTTGACATTCTTCTTTCACTCTGACTTTCTCAAAATGTCATCACTCAGAGTCTTATATTGCTTCTGACTAGCTCTTCAGCACTTCTTATTCTCTTTCATTGATAATGATTCTTCAGCATCTGTATCTGTTCATTCAGCTTCTACTTTCAGTTCTACTTGCAGTTCTTCATCACTGACTGCTTCTGCAGCAGTCTTCTGACTCTCTTCTCTCTCATTCATCTCAATATCTTCTTCTGAAAACTGGTGTGTGAACAGTCACAACTTTTTCAAATGAGTAAATGATGTTATAAGCTTTTGTATTACAGTCTTAGACTCTTCTTAACTCTTCAAGCTTCTGTTATGCAATTCATCTGTTGACTCTTCTGCAGTAATATCATGCAGCCTAGCTGAGTGATGATGAGATATCACTGTCTTTTCTTTATCTTAGTCTTTGATTACTTTATATATGAAAAGATAAGTTGATAGTGTCAGAAGCTTATCTGTCTGAAATTCTAACTCTTTATCTTTATTATTTTCTTTCATCTCATTCTCATCTGTTCTCTCTTCACTGATCTTCTCATCTATCTTCTCTTCTCTATCACTTATATAAAGAAGGGTATCATGCTTCTTCTGACTTAACAACTGAAACAATTTCTCTAAGACTAAGGCCTTTTTCATCATGTTCACTGTGTCTGTCTTCACAGCTGTTGACTTCTTCTTAAGACTCATTGTTTCTGTGATCTAATCTTCTATATGTCATGATTTTTGTTAATTCTGCTATATTAAATTTTAGTGAGATGTGTGAGAAATAAGAGAAGAATAAGAAGAAAGTGATTATAATATATATATTAATGTGATTATTTATCTATATCAATCTCTATCACTCACAGAATCTTCTCTCTGTTATAATGAAACTTCTGCTCTCATCTATCTCATTAAAGAACTCTTTCTCATTCAAGCTTTTTATAATTTCTTTACAATCTCTTTCTTTTCTTACAGCTGTTTTTAGATTAAAGAACTTCTGTCTCTTTCTTATCATTTCTTTTCAAGTCATTCTTACATCTTTCACTCTTTATAGAGACAAATAATTCTTATATCTGATCACTCTTTGTATGAATAAGTGATTCTATCACTCAGTCTTCCCTTTTCTATGATATCTGCAGCATATGTAAACAGACTAGTACTTCTGAACAATATTCACCTCTTTGGGCCTAGCGCCTGTGATACCTGTCATCTTTTTTCAACATCATTTTTTTCTTCTCTGCAAATGCATTCTTTTGAATAGAGGAACTGTGGCATGCTTCTGCCCTCTATTCAAGTCAATTCTCTATTCAGCTCTAGCTTTCACTTCATTTCTTGCTGTTTTCTGAAGCTTCTGCTTCTATCTTCTCTCTCTGTTCTTCTCTTCATATGTGATCACTTCTTCTATGAGAGCTTTCACTTCTTCTCTACAGAGTCTTCATTCTTTTCTTCATATATAATTACTTCTTCTATGAGAGTATCTGCTCCTTCTCTACAGAGTCTCTGTTCTTCTCTTTATAGACAATCACTTCTTCTACAAGAGCTAATCTCTATAGAACAATCACTGTATATATAAGAGTGTACGCTCATCTTCCATCTTTAAGAGAATAAGACAAGTTTTTACCCTTATATCTGACTCTACGTAGCGGCGTACGCTACAATATCTCTGTTTTTCAGTGCTTTGCAGAGATCATGATATTAGATTCTCATATTATCTTAATAGTCTGCAGTTGTGAAGAAGAGATGATCTCTTAATAATTGAATAATATTCTTTATATCATTATTCTCACTGTGTATATGTTATAGCTCTGTGACATTCACTGTTCTTTATATAACATCTTATATCTTTATTATATCTTTATTCAATTTCTCATATTTCATATATTTAATTTTTCACACAGTGATCTTAATATTATATACTATCTTGACCTCTGCAGTGACTTCTTCTGAATACTCAGATTTCAGAGGTTCTTCTAGTTCAGAGAAGATATCAGATTTATTAAGATTGATGAAGTCTGATATCTTCTTATTCTTTGCATATTCTAGCATATGCTTGTATCAAAGTTTTCAATCTTCAGAAATGCTAAGATGTACAGTTGTATTAGACATTGTCTTATCTGTCATATCAGTTATATTGAATGAATTGAGAAATCAGTTCAAGTATTTATGAATATGATCAGAAATCAGAGTGTATAACAGTTGAGTATATCAGAATGTATACAAGTGAGAATCTATCATCTCAGTTCAAATGATAGTTATCAGTTTGAATGAGAATTGAGATCAGTGTATGATATAACAGTTGAGTATTTCAGATTATATATGAATGAGAAACAATCATCTCAGTTCAAATGATTGTTGTCAAATTTGAATGAGGATTGTGATCAGTGATGTATCACGCTTCTCTTCAGATGCTGCTTACCAGGCTCATAACTGTCGGATTGAGTGTCATGGATGAATATGTTGAAGACATATGAATCTTATTTGTATCAAGATCTGCTTGTTATATTATCTGTACACTATCTAATATATCTATTTCATACAAAAGATGGAGCTATTTATAGTAAAATATATGTGTGAGTCAAGAGAGCTAGCATAAGCGAGTATTAGATGAGCATTGTAGTAAGCTGATGATGATGAGAAATATTGTAGTAATACGATGTTGGTGGCGTTCAGTAGTGTATAACCTCTTTTTCCTGACAAACCGACCTTCTCTCAGTTTTATATACGAGAGATTCCAGCCTGACCAAGTTTATTATGTTGTAGATAGTGTTACTGGTGACTTTCTATATACATAGTGTCTTTGCCTGGGAGTCAGGTAACTCTTGCAAGATTCTTTTGATGATATTTTTGAAGCAGGAATGAAACTTACATTTTTGTTTCAAAAATAGGAATTGGAATATATATTTGTTGGATATTATCAACTGCAGAGTGTATTTAATAATAGCAAAGAGCTTTGAATACCTGGACGTGAGTGACGGATTTCTGCGAACAACTTGAGGAAATTAAATATTTAATCTAGCTATCGTACTCATATTATCGACCACCAAGCGCTTTGAATTGGAATGCATTTCAGGAGATGGAAGAATTGGTGTGATTATGGCCAGCGAGTTAAAACACCAAGCCTTGACGTTGACGGCATTGGCATGGACGCCGAAATAGCCAGAATGCGGGGAAAGCTGGTTTGGCAAAGCTAAGTTAAATATATAACTAATTACTCACTAATAGCAAAGCGACCTCTCATTTCTGCTTTCCTATTCAACTATTCCGAATAAACGCAACCTGCCATCTCTCCTGCATATAATAACCTCCTGAATTTAGGAAGATCTCACACACCAACTGGACAATTTTTCTCAACTTCATATACACATCATACCAATCCGTTTTCAAAAAGATAATAAGGAGAGTGGAACAAAGAAACAAAAAGATGGAAGGACGCTGCCAATGCGGTCTAATCCGCTTTACCACTCCTTGCCCCCGCCCTCTGAAAATCTACATCTGCCACTGTACTCAATGCCGCCACCAATCCGCCTCCTCCTACGGCCTAACGGCCATCTTCCCCAGTTTCGATATCCCAGAACCGGAACCTAGTGTCTCCCACACAATCACCAACTACGACCCAACATCCTCATCAGCCATTGGTATCCACAGACGGCAGACGCTTTCCAACAAGATTATGGACTGTCTGTTTTGCAAGCAGTGTGGGGTACGCTTGATGCATCGGGTGCGCGGGGAGGAACGGTTGAGTGTTAAGGCCGGATGCCTTGAGGGCTTGAACAAGGAAATGATGGCGGGTGCGATACACATCTGGTGCAAGGAGGCAGTTGTTGAGATTCCTGAGGGAGCGGAAAGATGGGATGAGGAACCTAGTCAGGGGTCGTTCAATTGAGGCATTAGATTTATGCAAGACACATGTATATCGGTGTTGGGGTGAGAGTTATAAGAGAGAGATTGAGTGCATCTATATTGTTTAGTTTGTCTCATCTCTTTTCGTAATGAAGACTGCTCAAATCGGAGAATTCAATTTGAGCAAATGCTATTCAGATAACTATGCTTGATATATTTATTCTGTAATACAGCCAGCCGCTACTGTTCACAACCAACATATACAGCGTAGTCAGAAGCACAGGATAGGCGATTCAGGATCTCTACCTTAACCCAGTCTTTACTCAAAGAGGCCTTTCTATCATTATGCCTTTTCTATTTTCATGTTCTGGGACCTACCCCATCCCTTGTATGATTTCCCCTTCATATTATGGGTGGCACAGAGTGAATCCATGAATGATGCAAGGAGAGTATGGAAATGTGACATATGCATGGCTTTACTTGGCACTGCATGAATATAAGCATGTACATACATATGTTCATTTTCAAATAATATGATAGGAGTATTTATTTACAAAAGATTTTGATAGAATGAGTTATGTGATAACAAATAGTAACAGTAAAAATGAGAACTAAGCTATGCATGAGTCTCCATCTGCAAGTCACTATATAGCATTGTCCTTGACTTCTTTTTCTTTTTTTTTTCTTTTTTTTTTTTTTCAATGAATACAGTACTTTTTAATCGAGATCTTAACCAGGCAGAGAAAATTTTGAAGTACAAAGTTTACCTCTAAGATGTAGAAATTATATTAATGAACTCTTCTCTGTTCATCTGAAGTTTATTTACTCAACTTGTTTCTTTGAAAAGAACATTTCTCATTTACCTGGTTTTCTATGTATATATAAACTATACAAACTTACATGCCTATGTTGAGCTCTTTCTTTGTCCCCATAACATATTGTATTTGTCTCATTTAGTTGTGATTAACTACTCTGATGCTCTCCAGGAGAGAGACAGGGCCTGAGTGGTAGACGGATAGATACACACCACAAGCATTGCCAGCCAACCGTCAAAATTAGCTTTTAATGACCCGCGGCTGAGAATGAGGCCCCACCAACCCTAACCTTATTCCTACCCCAGATTTCCTTCCAATTCAGCCTCCTAAAGTTCTTGATCGCAGCCCAGGAATGGCCATCCATAATCCAACTGGATGATCGAATATTATCCCTTCCCCGGTTTAGGTTCACACCTAATCGCTACTCCAAAAAGCCTAACGTAATGCACACTATCCACAGCTCCTTGACCGCCGCCCATTAGCAAAGAACAACATCTAGGGCAACAAGCAGTCAAAATGCCCGTCCAAGCAGCCATGGATGCAATTCCGGAGTTTCCCGTGAAGGGCGATGCAACAGCCGTGGCCGCCAACAGCACGAACACAACTACCACCAACACGACCCTCCCCGAAACCAACAAAAGCGACTCCCACAGCTCCACCTTAACTTCAACATCAAGCAACCTTCTCGCAACCTTAACCGCCCTCCTCACCCCCCTCCAAACAGCCATGGACAAGCATCTCCCAGAATCCTCCAAATCATACCTCTCATCCTTCATAGACACCTACTCAGCTCGCCTCTCCGCTCACCCCCACATAACAACCTTCGTCACAATCCAACTATTATTCGCGGCCCTACCGCTACTTCTCTTCACCCTCTTCGCGATAGGCACGATACTCTTCTCGCTAGTCCTGACGTTCCTGGGCGCTGTAGCACTAAGTGCGCTAGTTATCGGCGGTGCGTTACTGGTTCTTGTACCCGTCACGGTTTCGGGGACTGTTGTGGCAGGGATGATGTGGATTGGATGTTGGATGGGTTGGTATGGGGTGGTATGGACTGCGCTGGCTTTTGGGAGGCTCGTTGGGAATAATAACTCCGACCAGCGGAATGGGAGAACTAGGGAGAATGATGAAGATGGGGTTGTGACGGGGAAGTGGGAGGGAAAGTGGGAGGAGTGGATGAGGAAGGAGAAAGAGGGAGAAGAGAGAAGGGATTTACGTCGAATGGAAAATGAAAAGGCAGGCTGGTCGAAGTTGGATGGTTGTCATAATGTCATTGATGATGGGTCACGGATTGCCGGTGTTTCCTCCGGTTTATCAATGTAAATAATTCACTGAGCAACCACTAGAAATGGAAAACATGGGAAATTATATGTCTACGCGTAAGTTTGCGGTATGATATCATTAAGTATTATTCTGCATTTAGCTAGGCTCATTTTATGATGCATGTAATGGTTTTTTTTCTTTTTTCTTTTTTCTTTTTCTTTCGAACTTCCACAAATATTAACTTCCAAGTACTGTTGCAAAAACAATCTGGCCGAATCAAATATCGATGAACAAGTTGCAAAAATGAACAGGACATCATGCTGTAATGCCGTACATGTGTACTCCGTACCAATATCCAAGTTATAAAAACCTCCAACGATAGATAAAGCAAAGGGAACGATGTAATTAGTAACTGAGAAAATGGGGGGGGGGGGGGCGGACCGGCTTGCAAACACTGTAACTATGACGTTGTTAGACCCGGACAAATAACTGTTATATTATTAGGGACATCAGTAGCATTTAACAACACCAGTATACAGATAAATGGATGCCCAAAAAAAAAAAAAAAAAAAAAAAAAAAAAAGGGAACTGAACCAACTCAAACTGAGACAAATGCTTGACATAAAAGCACACCTTACAACTTGAAGTGACTATTAGGCGGCTAAGTCTGTGTCAAAGACAAAAATGATTTTATTTTATTTTATTTATTTTATTTTTATTTTTATTTTAATTTTTTCTCGTTGCAATCAAAGCAAAAGGAACAAGGCAGTCAGTAAGATTCTAAGCAGGATTTGCATTTCAATCTTGGAGATGAGTAACCGGCACCAAAACAATAATTGGAACGAGTAAAATTCGTCTTCCATCCGAAATGATAGAGAGGCCCGGAGAGAGCAAAGGTGGAGGGCTCGAGAAGTATATGTTACCCGCTACCCTCATTCTCGCTGTCACTAAGCTCTTTGCCATGGGGGTTGAAAATCTGCAGTCCAAGCTCCTCATTTCGATCAAGAGTTTCCGACACGTACAGGGAAAGTTGTCGGGCGAACTCGTTTCCATCCTCAGCCCGACCGGCTAGCATGGAAACCACCTCCGTAATGACGTGTTGACAACAATCCTTTTGTTGGCGAACCACATCGATATGCTTATCTTTCAGTAGGAGTTCTGCCCGGCAGTCCGCAAGTTCATTGGCAGATTTGGTATGCTCGGCACGCCACGTCTCTTGAAGGTAAGAGAGGTGATACTCAGCAATATTTTGTCGTGTTTTAGCGAGGTAGATATCTTCGGAGAGCTCCTGTTCCCTTGCCAGCTGTTTGAGGGTTGAGATCTGGATTTTATCATGAGCCGCAGTCAAGCTAGCTTCTAGTTCCGATTTGGTAGCATTTAGCTTTTCTACCTCCTGCTCGAGTTGTGCACATCGGCTCTGAAATTGTTCTGTACATTGGGCGAGATTGTGGAAGTTTTGGAAATATGTAAGGTTGCTGGCTTCGTATTCTTCAATCTGCTTAAGCAAAAGGTTGTTTTCCTGGCAACGGTATTCGAGCTCTTCTCTTTGTTTCCCAAGCTGTAATTTAGACTCTTCTATTACCTTCTCCATCTCTTCGAGCTGAACTTGTTGGTGATTTGCGAGGGCTTCCAAAGCCTTAGCTCTCGGTTCAACAGCAGTGTATGACGCCTGAAATCGATCCCGCTCCCGTTTGAGTTCATCGATCTTGTCGTCTCGGCGTCTAGTAACAGTAAGAAACCTTTCGTTCCAAAAGGATTTCTGGTTCTCAAAGGAATCTCTTTCTTTTCTGGCGTCCTCCAGTTCTTTCTTGATTTCCTTGATCTTGTCATCTTGGGCCCTTGTCACAGTACCAAACCTTTCGCTCCAAAATATGTTATGTTCCTCAAAGATATTTCTTTCTCCTCTAGTGTCCTCCAGCTTTTTTTTGAGTTCATTGACTTTGTCGTCTCGGTCTCTGCTCACAGTAACAAACCTTTCATTCCAAAATGTTTTTTGTTGCTCAAAGGCATCCCTTATTTTTTTAGCATCCTCCAACTCTTTCTTGAGCTTATTTTTCTCATCGACAACAGCTCTCATTTTCTCTTTATACTCGTCTTCTAATGCTGCGATGTGAATTGCATGCCGTTGCTGCTCATATTGAAGACGAAAGTCAGGTTCATCAAAGGGCGTCATTCTTTCTTCCTCTATGTCGCCGTCCTGGAGAATAGGAGTGTTGCTACTGGGCACGACTATAGGGCTAGGTGGAGCCTCAACGGGAGGAGCGAGAGCACCTGTAATAGAGCCCTCTTCCGCAAAGTTAGAGCAGGTATCATTTACCTGAGTGGAAAATCGGCTGCATGAACCGTTTGCATTTTCGAGAACGGCCGGTGATGCAGGCGGATGCAAGGGGCGCAGAGAAGCGCAAGGGGAGACTTCGAGAATCAATTCCGAATCTACTTTGCAGCTTGACGGTCTTCCGGCGCGCCAACTCCGGGGTGATAGGCGGGTTGTTCGAGCTTTCGCTTTGCCAACCGTCGGACTAACAGAGGCATGGCCGTGTCCCTTGAAGGATATCATTCGCGTGAATGACATCAACTAGCACTGTAAGTGCATGCGTAAAATAATATATGGGGAGAGGAGGACTAACCTTCATTCTAGTTGCGGCTGCGGAAAACTTTTCTAAAATAAACATACTGAGGTGACCAGTTAAGGATGAAAAATATAAATTAAAAAAAAAAAAAAAAAAAAAATGGATGGACGGGATGGGATATTTCCTAAATTGCGCACGGCGCTGATAATGAGGACAGGAGATGGTGTAAAACTTCGTGGTGGTGTGTACCGCAGGCGTGCTACTTGGTTTGGAGGCCTGAGAGCCACGGAATTTCTATGATAGGGCCGTTTGAAGGAAGCAAGGCCGTGAGATTTGATCAAGATATAAATAATATGGCGATGCTAGATATACCTGTAGTAGAAACACGTAGCAGATCTCAGGAATCCCAAAACTGGATGGAGAGTGTTATTGACGCATCAGAGCAGCTATACATCCATATATATGACAGAAAAGAAGAAGTAGAAAAGTAAGTCATGTCAGAAGGAAAATGCCTTTGTATTAAACAACGTAGTTGTACAGGCACTCGTGAATGCGAAGGTTCTAATAGCAAATAGAGTTGGGAATCTTCCCCGTTGTCTGCTCTCGAGTGCATGTCAACAATGCTGGCCGGTAGATATTAACCATTTCTCCATTAACTGCCTGAGTTTAAACAAGCTCAAGACAGGTCCATGGTAAAATCCGCGAAACCTTATCGTGAACAAACAAACTTAAATGTAGAGACAAGCTAGTAAAACATAGATGCGAATGTTTAATCGCATGAGGGTTTATGCGTCGTCAAGGATAACCGGAGAGTTCCCTTTACTGGCAACTACCGGGATGTGCCAAAGTCACGCATATAGTATGGATGCTGTAAACCGTCCGCAAATATGTAGGTTTGAGAGTTCTCAATCCAACTAAAAAGCATAAAGAGGACATTCTTAACTCCATGGGCATTGCTTGTCTATCGGGGTAAGGCCTGAAGCCCAAGGACAAGAAGAATTATGGAGCTGTAAGGAGAGAAAGACAGTTGATGTGTTGATACGCAGGTTAATGATAAAGGTGGTGGTTGATGGTTTGCGTCGAGTTTAGTCCAAGAAGGGAAAAGGCTGGCGGTTCCAAGAAGCGCGTGGTGCACGTGACCCCGCTGCTGCGACCACAGTGTCCTTAATGCGTTAGCGCCGCCCGAACTGGACAACAAGCACAACTCAGACGCCGCCCGAAGTAAACCATCGCCAAATCTCAACCTCAACCTCAACCTTCAACCTAATCTCCATATATTCGTCCTTTCTTTCTACTTCCTTTCTGTCTCCCTGCCCGCCATCTCCCTTTCTTTCTCTTCTTTTAATTCTCCTTTTTTGTGTTTTATTTTTTTTCTTTTCTGTTTTTGGTTTCATAACCCGCGTCTCTGCCTGGGCCTGGTTTTCTTTTTCCCACTCCTTTAATTCGTGGGTCAATCGAGGACAAAGCCGTCACAATGAGTGGCCGTGAGTATCCCTGACACCTGTACCGGAATATCCAACAATTGCAGTTCGTTCTGTTTCGGATTCTAATTTTCACTACAATAGTACGCTTCCTCGACTTGATCAAGCCCTTTACGCCCCTCCTCCCGGAGGTGGCAGCTCCCGAAACCAAGGTCCCCTTCAACCAGAAATTGATGTGGACAGGTGTATGTTGCTGTATCCTGCCATAGCGCGCGTAATTGCGTGGCTGTCCGCGTACTGATTTATTTGCGCATAGTTAACTCTACTTATATTCCTGGTGATGAGCCAAATGCCGCTCTATGGTATTGTTTCTTCAGATACCTCCGATCCGCTTTACTGGCTCCGCATGATGTTGGCCAGTAACCGTGGTACCCTTATGGAATTGGGTATCACTCCCATTATCTCCTCTGGCATGGTTTTCCAGGTACGCTTCATGTGGTAGAGAGACAGGCTGGTTCGGGGAAATCACAGCATTATACTTACATGTTTTCGCAGCTTCTTGCCGGAACTCACCTCATCGATGTCAACCTCGACCTTAAAACCGATCGCGAACTTTACCAAACCGCACAAAAGCTTTTCGCAATCATCCTGTCTTTCGGACAGGCATGTGTCTACGTTCTTACCGGCCTCTACGGCCAGCCGAGCGACCTTGGTGCCGGTGTCTGTGTTCTATTGATCGTTCAGTTGGTTGTTGCTGGCCTTGTTGTCATCCTTTTGGATGAGCTTCTCCAGAAGGGCTATGGTCTTGGAAGCGGTATCTCTCTTTTCATCGCAACCAACATCTGCGAGTCGATTATCTGGAAGGCCTTCTCTCCTACCACCATCAATACTGGACGTGGCCCGGAATTCGAGGGAGCCGTCATCGCTCTCTTCCACCTGTTGCTCACCTGGCCAGACAAGCAGCGTGCTCTTCATGAGGCGTTCTACCGCCAGAATCTCCCCAATATCATGAACCTCCTCGCCACTCTCCTCGTTTTCGCAACCGTCATCTACCTCCAAGGTTTCCGCGTTGAGATCCCTGTCAAGTCTTCCCGCCAGCGTGGCATGCGTGGCTCCTATCCCGTTCGCCTCTTTTATACCTCCAATATGCCAATTATGCTTCAGTCCGCTCTCTGCTCCAACATTTTCCTGATCAGCCAGATGCTGTACTCCCGCTTCTCGGATAACCTTCTTGTTAAGCTTCTAGGAGTCTGGGAACCGCGTGAAGGTGGATCTGCTCAGCTCTATGCTGCCTCTGGAATTGCCTACTACATGTCTCCCCCTCTCAACTTCAAGGAAGCTCTCCTGGATCCCATCCACACCGCTGTCTATATCAGTTTCATGTTGGTTGCCTGCGCTTTGTTCTCTAAGACCTGGATCGAGGTTTCCGGCTCTGCTCCCCGCGATGTTGCCAAGCAGCTCAAAGATCAGGGACTTGTGATGGCTGGACACCGTGAGCAGAGCATGTACAAGGAACTCAAGCGCGTTATCCCTACTGCAGCTGCCTTCGGTGGTGCCTGTATCGGAGCTCTTTCCGTGGCTAGTGATTTGCTTGGGGCTCTCGGAAGCGGCACTGGTATCTTGTTGGCTGTCACGTAAGTCCTTCAGTTATTGTTCGTCACCGTCACATATCGCGTTGTCACTAATAGTTGTATAGTATCATCTACGGATATTTCGAAATCGCAGCACGAGAAGGTGACTTCGGTGCTGGCCTGAAAGGTTTAGTGCCCGGAAACTGAACGAATCTCGTTTTATGACAATTCGGGAAGATATTTTCACAGTCTGTCTTAATATATTCCCATTATATTTTTCTCTATTTTCTTTTCTGTTCTGTGGTGGTTATAAATACTCTCTCTTGTGACGTATCACATAAGTTGAATCTTCGGGCGGAGTATCCAGAAAAGTCAAGTGACGGGAGCCAGGTAGTGTTCGGGGGAATCGGTTTCTTCTCCCCTAATGAGTTTAGGTCTACACCTGAGCAGAATACAATCCACAACAGCCTTTTTTCCACCAAACTTCTTGGATTCCGTTTTCTTTTGTTCTCATACCTCAACTTCACCTATTTCTAAATCCATTTTCACTGAAGGAACATGGATTGTATTTGGCTAGGAGGGAGAAAAGCGCAAAATTATTAGAGCGGCCTAGTTTTCGCGAAACAAGAAAAGGAAGATGAGAAATAACCAAAATGTATATATACATCAACCTGCCTGCTTTCTACCTATTTAGTTGTGTGTATAATGAATCGAGTTTGTTTTTCAGAATAAGTGCCTTTCTCCAAGCATGATTGGAGAAGAAAGCATCGCACTGTATTCTTCAAACCAACATCCCGCATCAAGGCAATAAACAAGCCTTATCTAGAAACAATACAACAATAAACAAAGAAATTTTCGCAAAAAAACTTCTCTCCTCTCCGCAAACCCCCTCCTCAAACTCCCTTTTCTTTACCTCAAGTCCTATAATCCCCATTGATAGTCACATACTCATGACTAAAATCGCAGAACCAATACACGCCTTCTTCCCCACCAAGTCCTTTGTCCCCCTTCTCTCCCCCACCCAGATCAACCACAATCTCCAAATCCTCATCTTGCAAAATCCGCGCCGCCCTCTCTTCATCCACAGCCTCTGGCTCCCCATTAACAAGTAACTTCAACTCCTCACTTCCATCAACCGGTTTAAAGCTCACACTCGTCCGTTCAGGAACCACCGTCCCCTCCGCGATCCCCTGCGAATACCCAATGGCGCACAGGATCCGCCCCCAATTCGCATCCTTCCCGTACAGCGCCGTCTTGACCAGCGGCGACCGCGCGATCGTCGACGCAATCACCTTCGCATCCGCGTGCGAGGGAGAATTGCGCACGCGCACCGTGACGAATTTCGTCGCGCCTTCGCCGTCGCGCACGACGAGTTGTGCGAGCGACTGCGCGAAGTTGGTCAGGATGGTTTGCATGGCGGTGTAATCTGGGGAGGAGGTGGTGGTGATTGTCTCGCCGCCCGCGGCGCCGTTGGCGAGTAAGGCGACGGTGTCGTTGGTGCTTGTGTCGCCGTCTATAGAGATGGAGTTGAAGGAGCGGGAGACGGCGTGGGTTAGAAGGGGGTTTAGGACCGAGGGGCTGATGGGGACGTCGGTGCAGAGGATGCCGAGGAGGGTGGCCATGTTCGGGTGGATCATGCCGGCGCCTTTGGTCATGCCTGCTAAGTGGTAGGCGCGGTTGGGCGAGGAGGGAAGGGTGAAGGTGCGCGATAGGAGCTTGGGGAAGGTGTCTGTTGTGCAGATTGCGCGGGCGGCCGTGAGCCAGGCTGAGTGGTTTGAAGCCAGGTTGGAATGCGCAGTTGGGATAGTGTCAAGGATTTTCTTGATAGGAAGTCTGGAGTTCTATATGTGAGCATGCTGTGGAACGTCGTTGTAATTGTCAACACCAAGGGGATATAGGATTGGACTTACCGTTGGCCAATAACTCCAGTGCTCATGACGAGAGTGCTGGTATTCTGGGGGTCAGCTGATGGAGTCCCGGTACATTCATCAACTTTGGCGCTCATCATTTTGGCATCTTCCAGCCCTCCCTTTCCTGTGACGGCATTGGCACAGCCAGAATTAACCACCACTCCCCGGATACCTGTGCCCTGCCTTGTTTCAAGTACCTGCTTGCTCACTTGAACAGGAGCCGCCTGGAATTTGTTCGCTGTAAAGACAGCAGCAGCTGAGCATGGTGTTTCGGAGCATATCAGGGCAACATCGGGGAACCGCGTATTTGACTCCTTCACACCCGCATGGGCACCAGCAACCAGGAACCCTTTAGGGTATGTGCCCGAACTAGGAATGAATTTTTGCTTCGAAGCCGGTATGGACATATCCTTTAGAATAGAGTAGTATCGGACCTGGCCAAGGCTGCTCTTGGGCAAGCGCACGAAGCCAGCCACGGCAGAAAAAGACTGCGTGCTTTTCATGATTCTGCTATTCTGCTCAGCGCCTGTTCAAAGGGAAGAAAAATAATAGGGTTCTCACTTAGCAAGTCACAGCAAAACCTTTCCCGGTATATAAAAAGGTTTCCTAAGAGCGCAAGAACTCAATATGTAGATTTTACTCGACCTATTGTAACTATAGCGAAGCAGAAATCTCAGCGTGAACGGTTGAGTATGGCAGGTAGAGAGGATTCCGACAAGCCAAACCGAGTCCGCAAGAGCTCTCCCGCATTTAACAACCACCAGAAGCACCGCAAGCGGACTCAATTGGCTTCCCTTGATATAATTCCCTTCCTATCGTGACTCACTATGTTGAAGTGGAATTTTTGCTTTAAATATCACGTGTTTTCGCGTTGCCAAGATCGGAGTTTGCATCAACAGCTTCCGCTGTTCTTATCCAGCTCAACGCGCTTGCTTTTGCTTGTTCATCTTCTGCTCATTGCCTCAGTAGTTATATAACATCTCTGGTTGTCTTTTTCACCTAAGCCCATGGCCTATGACTACAATGAAGCGCAAGCAACCGGATTCTTCAAAGGAGGAGCACTCAATTGACACCACACCGCGAAAGCGAAGGACGACCACAGACCCTGACGGCACCACCACAGGCATACCCCAAACACCCTCAAGAAAACCTAACTCCACGAGGAATGGGCCCAAAACAAAACCTACCCCCGATCCAAATACGCCAACCAACAATTCTTCAGTCCCAAAGACCCAGTCAAGATCGCTATTCGCAACCCCTACAAAGGCCACGGGGGAAAAAGCGACGGATGTTTCTCCGTCCGTAGCAAGAAATGCTAATCGCTCAGCGAAGAGGAAGAGCGCGCGCGTACTTCTAGAACACAATGACGAGGATGACTGGGATGGAGCAGATCAATTGGCGCAAGCCATCTGGGAACCCGACGACGATGATGCTGAGGCCGAGGGCGAGGATGATAAAGAGGAAGAGAAAACAAAGAAGCGACTAGCAACTAAAGTAAGCGGCGCTGCAAAGACTCAAGATACCCCAAAGCGCCGTGCTGGACGCCCTAAAGGCGCCAAAAACCGGCGATCTCCGACCCCCGAGGGAGATCTCCCACCCCACGAAAGATATTTCTTTCAAAATCGACCGGGACCTGTTCAAACTTCTAATAATACGCTTGCGAAACTATCGCTTTTGACGCATGAGGAGTATTTCGAGCAGATGAGCAAATTTGTGGATCCACACCAAAAGGAAAAAGAGTTTTTACTTGAATTGCATGAACATTCATTTCCGCAGTGGGCATTTGAACTGAGCGAGGGGTTTAATATATGTTTATACGGATATGGTTCAAAAAGGCGGCTCGTGAATCGATTTGCGGAATGGCTGTCCCAACAGCACAGTGATCCACCAACGATCGTAATTGTGAATGGCTACGTGTCTAGCACAACGATACGGTCTATTCTTTCGACTATCATCAACGCAATCCTTGGGCCTGATACCCCTTCGAAACTTGGTATGCAGCCGTCAGAGGTTTTGGAGCTACTTCAATCCATCCTAAATACCAATCCACCCCCAAGACCAATTATGGTCTTTATAAATTCCATAGATGCATCGCCCCTCCGGCGTCCTTCTCACCAGGCCCTTCTGGCACGGCTTGCCAGCATACCCCTGGTCAATATACTTGCCACAGCTGATACACCGAATTTCCCGTTGCTATGGGATGTAAGTCATCGAGATCAATTCAATTTTGTTTTCCACGACTGCACAACCTTCGCATCGTATGACGTGGAACTCAACGTCGTTGATGAGGTAAACAACCTTCTCGGCCGTCAAGTACGTCGAATTGGTGGAAAGGACGGAGTCAACTTTGTCCTGAAAAGTCTTCCAGAAAATACTCGCAAACTATATCGCTTGTTGTTGACGGAGATCCTCACACTACTAAGCGAGCAGCATGTTTCCGAAGACGAGGATAATGGTGACGGAGACGGAAAGAAAGCCCGTGGAGTCCACGCGGGCGAAGAAATAGCCATAGAATGGCGAACGTTATTTCACAAAGCTGCCGAAGAATTCATCTCCTCGTCAGAAATGATGTTCCGTACGCAGCTGAAGGAGTTCTATGACCATCAAATGATCGTGTCACGTACTGATGCGAGCGGAGTGGAAATGCTTGGAATCCCTCTCTCCAGAGAAGAGATGGAAGGAGTTTTGGAAGATTTAATTATTGATTGAAATATTATAGCACATCATATGTTTTCCCCATTTTTCTATATTTGCGTTCCATTCCAGATGATTATATTCACAAGCATATGATACCCTATCTATATCTAGAGCCCAGCTTAAATATACAGATAAAATGAATACAATTAACGAAGACCAGAGCACCCAGGCGGCTGCCTATCTCCATTGGATGGAGAGATCCACCACATTAAAAAGAGCATCTCGCAATACGTGGTGTTGTCTTTAGCTCCTAAAATTGCGCAAATGCAGCCAACATCATCATCGTTCCAAAGCTGACTTTGAAGGGGACCTTTTCTGTCACAAACCGCTGAACATCCGCGGATTTGACATGTTTCTGCAACCAGCGTGTGGGGACGATATTGTAGCCCTTGGAGGCTGCCCACTGATCGATTCCAAGACCACATGTTAGCGAGTAGACATTATAGGAGAATCAATTCATTGGCCCTCCAAATAAAGACAAAAAACCATGTGGATGAAACCAAAATAAATTAAAACAATATTTTAATAAACATACCTCCACCCCCAAAATCATAACCCCCAGCGCAAATACGAGCGCCCTCGAAAATATCCTCAACCCAAGCCCGGCCACCAACCCCAGCACGCTTCCCAAACTAATCTGCCTCGCAGTTGTCTCGCTAATTCCGCTCCGACTGCGAATCCCGCTTGCTGTTTCGGACACAGGGCTGCTGCCGTATTGCGAATGGCTAGTAGTGGTGAAGGGCCCGGCAAAGTCGCAAAGGATGGGTTGTCGTCTTGGGAGAGCAGTGTAGAGGGGGAGGCCGAGGGGAACGGCGAAGAGGAACGGTCTGGCGGGGGTGAGGAAGCGGGCGAGGAAAGGAGCGGCCATCTTTTTTCCTGTGTGGTTGTGTTTCACGGGTTGATTTGGTAGGTTTTATTTGATTTGTAAGGGGTGTTCTGTTTGGCAATTGGGTTTAATGGACAACGTTATTCCTTTCCTAAGAGGGGTGAATAATATGTGCTGGTGTACGGAGTATGGGATGTTAAATGCAGGTCCCACGCTTGCCAAGCTCGGAGCGTTGTTGGGCGTCTTGTCTTTGCGTTCCAAGGAAACCAGGGGAAGGCGGCGCTGATGTCATGGCCGAGCGCGGAGGTGCATTTAGGCTTTTTTAAACTCACGCTAAATCTTAGAATCACGGCAGCCTTACTCAATAGAGTTTAGTGAATTCCCACCCCGTTTCCACTGGTTCGCCACCTTTCTGTAGTTGTATTTATGACTTTATCTGGCTCACAATTGTTAATTAGATATTACTCTTATCAGGCCATATTTGAGGGGAATTACTCATCATGGCAAGCCGGCATTTCATTGTAAGAGACAGCGCTTTGTTCTCAAATTTCAAATATTTACGCAGTGAGTGACTCTTCCGCTATTCATATTTTATTATTAACTAGCATTTTAGTCTTGCATTGCAGGTTTTGATCTACAATCCTCCTGTTAATCAGATTTTCATCCCCGCGTTATCCGCATGAGCAGAGAAAAATGATATCAAGTACGTCCACTAAACCATCTTTTTTGTTTTATCCTTAAGTAGTCTCCATGTGGCTTGCATCCAGTATCATTTAATCTATATTCGTTGACAATGCGTCTACAACACATCATAGATGGTAACGCATAACCTCAGTCGAACGCTCGGCTACAAAACTCCTTCACTTACTTCTCTTCATTTAACTAAGGAAATTACCCCTCAACTCTCTCAAACCTGTGCCATGGCTTGAATCTTCACACATATGCCCTAATGCTGTGAGCCTACCACTATAGAAAGGAGCTGGTGATAGACGCAATACTTGTGCGGAGTGCGAATGACATGGACGGCGACCGTCCCGTCCATCAGGAACATATAGCAGCGGGCCAGTGAAAACTTGCTTTCAACTTTAGCCGCCGACCTGACTTGGGGTATACTGAGCAATGGCTGAGATCTGGCGGACTTACGATCCACCTTCGATCGTGGTTTGTTCAGGAATGCCGTTCCAGCCACTTAATAGGGAGTTTTTCTGTATGGAGCGGTGATGATGGCGGAGAGAGGCTGATTTAATGGGATGCAAGGGTGGGATCAGGGAAAATGACTTTCTGAGTGCTGGGAAGAAATACATACCCTGTCTAGAACATTCGATCATATGGCTTATTCTGTCGTGTTAATTGTGGTGGACTCTGTGCGGGAGGATTCACGGAAGCCACCGTAATTATGGTATTCAATCTAGTTGGATATGGTGGTTTATTTGAGTCCGCTTGTGTAGGTCAAGTATTCCCAGAGGTAGTCGTGAGACAGGACTTAATGTTGAAAGGCCTAGATCGCCATTAAAGGATAACATTGAGCCGCAACACCATGCTCAGAAGTGCCCCGGTTCCGCAATACAACCGAGGGATAAAATTGGCCAGTTGTGTTGAAACGCTGATCTTCAAGCTGCATTGATGCCGGAGATTGAATTGAATAAGGAGATGGAACAGAATAGCGCAAAAGGAATTGGCATTATGGTGGATTCAGGGCGAGATTCACTTCGATTCATATATGTAACGGAGACATCAGACTGCAGACATCCGAAACCGCTTGCTACATGTCTTCTAGATCGGAAAATTGTTCAGCGGAGCAATTTGATGTTCCGCCCTATCTCCCAACACATGTTCTATCGAACAAAGCAATGGTCATGAGTGTCTCTCGCCAACTCGGCATGCAAGAAGCGACTGGCATATTGTAGTATGCATGCTGTAGACAAAATGGTCAATGAACGCTCGGAAGGATCTATTATTTTGTCTCCCTAAAGCTGCAATTAGGTACTGAGTGCACATTTTACCAAATTTCGGCGTCGTGAGTCATATCCTGCTGAAAACACCTTGGGGATTCACATTGCTCTACTTCTTATATACAGTGACAGGATGTACTCTATATAGATGTAGGCGCCGAGACCATTTGAGAGAGAGCTTAGATTTGATTTACCGGCCTAGAATAGAACGTTTGATTGATCGATCACCAGTGACACAGCCCCTAAATCTAACTAAACTGGAGCCAATCAACAAGTTGTTGCGGGAAATACCGCCAAAGAGAGCCCAGTTTAGTGCCCTCCACAGGCCATGCATCTCTAGAATCCCGACATTATCGGCCGAAACCGACGTCATTCTGTCAATATGGTGTGTCGGCGGGTGTTCAGAAAAAGGTACTGTACATATACATGGACTAGCCTGTTGAATCTCTGTCTTTTTGGTTCTATTCTCTTTCTTACTTAAAGGGCTTGTTGGGAAATCAACCTGGCTCAGAGAGCATTTGAAATGAAAGATATGTTCAATTAATTCCAGCGGAAGGGGATCTGCAGAGATTGAGGCCAGACGGGCATTGCAAATCCCGCGTAGGGAGTGGTGGGTATTCGTTTCCCGGAGTGTGGGGGAATGGCACACCGCAAAAGAGAATTTGAAAAATAGATTAGGTTATTGCTTTCTTCAGGCACATGTTGAAGCTGTCAAATAACTATATTCTTTGCCGATTAGCTTGCGCCGGAGATAGCCGGACCCCGCTCAAGCAGCTAACTTGGTGGTTTGTCGTTTAGCCAGTTAATTGATTTTCTGCTTTTTTTCCGCCGAATATTTATCTCAATGTTATCAGCCCACTTCCGCTGCGAGCAATTTGGTTGGAGGAAAGATTTAGGAATCTTTGATCAGAACATGTCACGGTATCATGCAATAAAGAGTAAAAATTACGCTGTACAGCACATTCGGCTTCCAGAACACATCCCGCATGCGATAACTCCTAGTCGTTTCCGCCCCTCCGGCACCCGCGCGCCTTTCCCATTACATGGGCGCTGGCTGACTCACAAACTCGGCGCCGCTCACCGAGCCTAGTCATTCATTCGTCTTTCTGCCCCGAATATCTTTTTGCTCTTATATTTCCTCAGACCTTCTGATTCCTCAGCGGCATTCCTTCTAAGACCCAAGTATTCGCTTTATATTCTTCAAGACCCCCAGCAGAGTTTCTGCGAGTTCCATATTCAACCAACATACAATCGCATCGCACATATCTCCCTACATTTACCCCTCGCCTGAAGTGAAAAAAATTTCTGCCCCTCACCCCACTTCAAATATCATACATAACCTTTCTTTGCGCAACATAAATTTTCCCATTCCAATGGCACCAGAAACCTCTACCGGCAACGATGCCGCTGCTGCTGCTTCATCCTCGCCCGTCGACTTCACAGTCAAGGCTGGCCTGGCTCAGATGTTGAAGGGTGGTGTGATTATGGACGTCGTCAATGCGGAGCAGGTAAATTTTGAACCCGACCCCACGTTGCACCCCCGCGTTGTTTTTTTTTTTTTTTTTTCTTTGCCGACGATATCCATCTGGCCCCATTCGCATGGCTGTTATCGATCACGAGGAGCCATCCCAATCCTCAACAGGAGTAATCAGACAGCTCGGATTGCTGACAAAATTCTCTTTTTGAACCATGTTAATAGGCCCGGATCGCCGAGGAAGCAGGCGCATGCGCCGTCATGGCGCTGGAGCGGGTGCCAGCAGATATCCGTGCCCAGGGTGGTGTGGCGCGCATGTCTGACCCAACGATGATTAAAGAGATCATGGAGGCTGTTACGATTCCAGTTATGGCCAAGGCGCGGATAGGGCATTTCGTCGAGTGCCAGGTATGCCAATTTCTCCACAACATATAATAAATCAACATATAAAATTTATCCTAACAAACCCACTTTAATCTAGATCCTCGAAGCCATCGGTGTCGATTACATCGATGAATCCGAAGTCCTCACCCCAGCCGACCACCTCTACCATGTAACCAAGCACAACTTCAAAGTTCCCTTCGTCTGCGGCTGCCGGAACCTGGGCGAGGCCCTTCGCCGCATCTCCGAAGGTGCTGCCATGATCCGCACAAAGGGTGAGGCGGGCACAGGCGACGTCGTCGAGGCCGTCTCCCACATGCGTACCGTGAACAGCCAGATCGCCAAGGCGAGCTCGATCCTGCGAGCCTACCCCGACGACGCTGTTGCGGCGGAAGCGGAGCTGCGCGCCTTCGCCCGCGAGTTGGAATGCTCCTATGAGCTGCTGCTGGAGACCGCGAAGAATGGTCGGTTGCCCGTTGTGAACTTTGCGGCCGGAGGAATTGCGACGCCGGCGGATGCGGCGTTGATGATGCAGCTGGGCTGTGATGGTGTATTTGTTGGATCAGGAATTTTCAAGTCTGGTGACCCAAAGAAGCGGGCCAAGGCGATTGTGCAGGCTGTGACACACTATAAGGATGCGAAGGTTCTGGGCCAGTTGAGCGAGGGGCTTGGTGAGGCGATGGTTGGCATTAGTGTGCGGGACATGGGAGAGACACAAAAACTGGCGACGAGAGGATGGTAAAGAAGGCAGAAGCAGAAAATAAAAGAAGGACTGGCTACGTGACCAGATGAGTTTGTTATGATTGATACCAATGATGAATGCATTGGCGAGGTGCGCATGCTTGATATTTCAACCATATGCCTTGCGTACGCAGGTGGGCTTAGACGTTGCACTCCCTCCATATCCGGTGGCTCCGTGTGTTCTGTAAATATATACTTAAATCAATATTCAAGAATAAAAAACATAAAGAATTCATCTTTTCCCCCTGCCCCCTGCTCTTTTTTTTTTTTTTTTTTTTTTTTTTTTTTTTTTTTTTTTTTTTTTTTTTTTTTTTTTTTTGGCCATCCCAATTGCAATTGAGCTGTAGGTGGAAGCATACCGTGTTTAAATTATTGAAAAAAAATCATTCACAAATATAACCGGAAGAAATAAATAATTTAACTAAGTAATAATCAGGGGAAAATATCCATTTGATATGCAAATATGCATTTGCGTTGCCATTTTTCCTTCATGACCCAGATTCAATTACCTAAACTATGCAAATTGACTACCAATCCAAGCCGTCGCTAACTAGATCAACCACCTTAGCTGGCATATGCAAAGCCCTTCCCCCTACACGCTACCCAGTAATCCTTCACAACACGACTAGTCCCCCTCGACCCCCTCAGCGAGAGCATCGATGATAAGAATCTTTCTCGCTCTGCCTTCTCCGGTACGCGTCCCCCTCCTCCCGCCCCATCTGGCGAAAGAGCACCATCCATTTCCGCCAATGCAGCCCCAAAATGCACACGCGCCGCGCCCTGATAGTGGAATATGAATTTTTTAACCACCTCAGACAGGTGGTCAAGGTCGGAGCGCGCGCAGTGACCCGATACCTGGTACATGAGTATATTACCCAGCGAAGATATGCAGGTGTCGAAAAAGCGTGGCGCATGTTGTGGAATTGCGCCGTTAGCTGCCGCTGTAGTGGCGTGTCTTATGGTAGAGCTACCGGGGCCCGGCTGGAGCTCAGGTGGCAGATCTGTGAGGGAGAATAGGGTGGACCAGAATGCAGAAGCAGAGCGGAGTGGAAGAGGGTCGGGACGTTTCAGCACTGCCAGGGTGAATGTGAGGATGGTGAGGATTGCAGCGCTGTGCTGTGGTATCGGTGAGTGGACGAGGTTGAAAAAAGCTGCTTTGTGTTTTGGGAGCATCAGGTTGAGGAAATCGATGCAGCTGTGTGCGACTTCTGGGTCATATTGATCCGGTTGGGTGTTCATGAAGCTCATGAGTTCGTAAACATGGACGATTAGTTCCGCGGCTTCATTTTGGACTACTAAGGGTTGCGCAGAGTGGGAGGCTAAGAAAGCAGAGGCGGTTCCCATGATTGTGGGGAAGCGAGGAGAGGTAACGTTGGCAGCCTTAATGAAACGGATAGTGACTTGAGGTGGTAGGACATATGGCCCCGGCGTGTGTTCTGTATATCCGGCCTTCAGAACGTCGCATGTAGCTTCGATTATATCACCATCGGTGGGGAATGTGCCTATTAAGATGTCCAGAATCTGAATCAGGTATGCTTGTGGCGCTCCCCCGAGTTCACCCCTTGCCCAGAAATTATTTGTGCTTTCACTCGGCCCCTCGGCATCTAGATCGATTACGGCGTCATCAGGAGCCCTAAACCCCTTCCCGATACTTGCCGTGCAACGCATTACTTTGATCCCTTTTTCAAGCGCTTCATCATACTGGTTTGATTGAGCTTCTAGCCTGGCTTGTTCCGCTAGCTGATGGAGGGGCGCTAGCAGTTTTACCAGGGATGTTGCCTGGGCTGTATTTGGAGTCGCCGCTTGCACAACTGCTGCAATGCCTTCGGATACTCGCTCAAGGGTAGTAACATTAACAGAGGAATTCGAGCGAAGTTGGTCCAGCTTATTGATAAAATCATCAACATACATTGGGAGAGCCTGGCGAGAGTTCTGGCAGAGAAATGAAATGGATTTTGACGCAGCTTGGTCGCATGACGCAGCATCGAGGGAATTGAACAGGAAATTAAGAACTCGCGGGAGAAGATCGTGGTTCCGTTCAAAGTATGCTGTGTACCTCGCAATCATGTCAGATAGGGTCTGGCGAGGCTTCATAGAAATGGAAATGCGGTTGAAACAAATGCCATTGAATATTTCGGAATGGAAAATCGTATGAAGTAGCTTGTCCACATTCGGACTCTCCACAACAGAGTCAGCCAAGAAACCAAGACAGAATACTGCTACTTCAAACCCTTCCCATATTTGGCTGTTCATCGAACTAGTTGCTCTCTCAACAAGCTTTTCGATCAACTCAAACCCTAGAAGAGGATAAGTAGCGAGTAGGAAGTCCGCAAAGTCACGTCTGAATCCATTGAAATTCCTCACATCGTCGTCATCCCACTCCTTTAGGACTGATGGATCAGGATACCGGAGCTTGTCATAACAGTCCGCGATGACTTGCACAAACTCCCCTTTGACACGAGTCGAGTAAATATTCATTTCACCCTGCATGATATAATCGCTAATATCATCCGCCGCCTCAGTCCAATATTCCAAAAGAAGCGAACTCGCTTTATCGTCAACTTCTACAAACCCTGGCCCGCGGAAAAGGGTATGTAACAAAAACAGGATCCTTTGCTTCTGTTCGTTTAATTCGCCAGTGAACAGTTGTATGTGCTCCGTCGCTGCATAGCGCAGTAATAAATCCAAGAATCGCATGGAGTCTTCATCATAATCCGCGTTTAAAAGAGCCAATGCATACTTTTCCCCGAAGTTTCCTGAGAGGAATTGCAGTATTGCAGTCAGGTGTTCAACTCCTAGTAACTTCGCATGGCTATTAAGGATTTCTGCAAGAAGTTCCATTGCCATCTCTGCAAGTTCGGGTACTGCTAAGAACTGAACAGAATAGTTCAAAGGTACGGCGACCATCTTCGTAAGATTGCCAGGAGAAATGCGGTCTCCTCGGATTGCGATGAGCCATGCCTAGAGTAATATTGTAGCGGCCGCAGAGAAGGGTAACGCGGGGCTAAGATGCTTACATTTAAAGATTTCATTGCTTCGATAGCTAATTTATTTAATTGATCTGAGAGGGACGGCTGATTTCCATCTCTTTTAAAAGTGGATACTTGTTCCAAAACGAACTGGACAAGATAAAGAGCATCCCTGAGATTGGGACCTAAACGCCCTCGGAGATCCCTGTTTGCAGTGTTAGGATAGGGATTATTTATCAGAATCCATAGGAAGGGATACTGCTGCGAACTCACTCATTCAGAGCATACCGCGATGACTCCTCAGCCAGGATGGTAGAAAAAGACAAAAGTGGGAGCATCCGTTCATAACTGAGCGAAGGGAGAGCTAGCTTTTCGAAATTTCCCTCCTCACATTGATCTTCTGACAGGTATTTCCCACTAGCCATGGACATGGCAATATGTCGTATACAATGAGTCCAGGGAGCTTCAGGCTTAAAAAAGAAGGTAGTCAATGTTGACATAAATTTCCTCATAGATACAGCCCCTTCGTTTCTGGAGACCATTAAGATGAAGAGGTTAGTCAGATGTTCTAAAAGATCTTTGGCTTTCTCTTCTCCAAGATGGTCCCTAGCATGATGTCAGCTAACGACCTTAAAAAAACAAAATAATGGTGACTTGAATTCTTACCAGTCCTGATGGATTTTAACGGTCAAGGTGAGGGCACCGAAGAATCTTGCATTAGCATCATCACTGGTCAAAAGACCATCTGCAATAGCCCACCCCGCTTCTGACTTCTGCAGCGCCTGCAATCTCTCCTGGATAGATTTGGCGATTGCAGCATTTCCAGGAGCATTGAGGACGTGAATAAGCTAGACAAACGTCAACCATAACTGACAATGTTATTAGAATACAGACTAATAACCGTACCTGAAGTGACTCATCAATGAGGCCTTGGCTCTCCTGTTCAGCTGAATGAATTCCCGCCATCATCCCTCTCTTAGACCTATGTCACACCGCACAGAATCGGGGGTTTGGTATGTTTCTGGCTACGTGTACTGATATGATGTCCATATACGACCTCAAACTAGAGTGTAAAACAGAATAACAGGGTGAGATCAGAAGGACAGAGTCACATGAAGAATAGGAATAAAAACCTAATTAGCAATGGGCAGGATGGGTGAAGAGTTCAATATGCCATGAAGCTCTAGTCACAGGAGCAGCAACAGAGAAGAAAATGACACTTCGCTGGCAAACGAGAAACCCAAGAACATGAGTGGCCCTATACTATCACAGATTGATAGATCTCATTTCCAGGCTAATCAGTAACATAAATGACGTTGAATGTGCCAAGAGAGCGGGATGATAGGGGTGTTGTAGTTCTGATGTTTGCCACGTGAGTACGCAAGCCCTCAGTGTAAAATTCCCTGACGAAATAAACTGTTAGCTCATAAGTACAGCCAGGCAAATTGATGCATAGACGATGTAGTCAAATTCATACAATTAAACGAGTTTCTCTGTATATCTGTGAAATGGACAAAGAAAACGATTGTGCGATGTGGGCGGAATACTTTTTAACTTAGGAGACAACCGCCGCCCAATATTGCTTATCTAAACAACATCACGTGATTGGTTTGAAATTCCAATGTCACAGGAAATCTCGGAGAAGAGAATGGATAGAATGATGATAGATAATACAGAGTACATTTCTTTTGGTTATTCTTGCAATTGACAGGTATCTCGCGCTTAGCAGCTGCTGATGACTGATCTGCTCGCGCCGGAATCATTCGTTGTTACATCGCAGGCACAGTCAACTTTTTCCGCCTACCACGATTGGTACTCCCGCATAGCAACGGTTTGATATATCCGGCCGCCCACCCACAACCTCATCCCCGCCAAACCCCCCGGTGCTGCCTTATAAGCGCTACAATATAAATGCTTCTTCTCCGTCATTCTTGCCGCCTTGCTTCCACAACTACAAGCTCTATACGGCCTCTACTACCATCACTAAGCCGCTTGATTAAACCGACAACGAGATTATTTACTTCATCTACTGCACTTCGTTCTGGAGACATGGGCCCTGTCGATACTTCGCAGCGCCTTGCCCGCTTGAGGGAGTTGATGCAGGAGAGGAAGGTTGATGTCTACAGTATGTAATGATACAAGTTAACCCTCTTCAAGATCCAATTGTCTGATGCTTTACTTTTATTCAGTTGTTCCTTCTGAGGATAGCCACCAGTCCGAATACATTGCCCCTTGCGATGGCCGCCGCGGTTAGCTCTACCTTGTTCCCTTACGATCTAAATCCCATCATCTACGCCAGCCAGGACGGGCCAGCTCATGACTATTATTAAATACAGAATTCATTTCGGGCTTTACTGGCTCTGCGGGATGTGCCATCGTTTCGATGAGCAAAGCAGCGCTATCTACCGACGGACGTTACTTCAACCAGGCAGCAAAGCAGCTAGATAATAATTGGATGCTTCTGAAGAGGGGCTTCGAGAATATGCCTACTTGGCAGGAATGGTATGGACAGAGAAATACAGCATGTCATGTGTGAGCGTGTATTGAAAATGGATATATAGGACTGCGGAACAAGCTGAGGGCGGCAAGGTCGTTGGAGTCGACCCATCACTCATCACAGCCTGTGAGCTCATTATCTTCTCCACGTTTGTGAATATATTTTTGTCCATGAATATAACTAACATCATCTAGCCGAGGCGCGCAGCCTTTCAGAGACAATCGAAAAAAGCGGTGGGTCCTTGCAAGGCGTGCAGGAGAATCTAATTGACCTTGTTTGGGGCAAGGAGCGCCCAGCCAGACCAAGCGAAAAAGTTGCTCTCCATCCTATCGAATTTGCAGGGAAGTCATTTGAGGAGAAGATCAGTGACCTACGAAAGGAGCTCCAGAAGAAGAAAAGCGCGGGATTTGTCATCTGTGTGTATTTGACCCTTCCTGCCAACAAAGTACCTGAATTTCTGACTCTTTTTTAGCGATGCTTGACGAAATCGCCTGGTTGTTCAACCTTCGAGGAAATGAGTACGGATATCCGCCTGCCATTTGTCAATTTGACTGCTGACTGACACTAATTATCATTCGCAGCATCCCGTACAACCCAGTGTTTTTTGCTTATGCCATAATTACACCGACGACTGCTGATTTGTACATTGATGACGAGAAGTTACCTGCCGAGGTGAAGAAATATCTGGGTGATCAAGTTTCTGTGAAGCCATACGGTTCTATTTTCGAAGATGCCAAAGCCTTGAGCCAATCTGCTCAAAAGAAAAGCGATGGTGACGCTTCAACCAGCCCATCTGAGAAGTTCCTTATTTCGACGAAGGCATCATGGTCGCTCAGTCTTGCTCTAGGAGGTGAGAAGAATGTGGAAGAAGTCCGCAGTCCGATCACTGATGCCAAGGCAATCAAAAATGAAGCTGAGCTGGAAGGAATGAGAGCTTGCCACATTCGCGACGGCGCAGCACTCACAGAATATTTCGCCTGGCTCGAAAACGAATTGGTCAACAAGAAGACAGTTCTTAACGAGGTAGATGGTTCCGACAAGCTCGAACAAATCCGATCAAAGCATAAGCATTTCGTCGGACTTTCCTTTGACACCATCTCGTCTACTGGTCCAAATGCCGCAGTCATTCATTACAAGGCCGAACGAGATACTTGCTCTATTATCGATCCGAAAGCCGTGTATCTATGTGACTCAGGTGCCCAATATTTGGATGGCACTACCGATACAACCCGCACTCTCCATTTCGGCGAACCGACAGAGATGGAGAGAAAGGCCTACACGCTTGTTCTCAAGGGCCTGATTAGCATTGATACTGCTGTATTCCCTAAAGGAACAACTGGATTCGCTCTAGATGCTTTTGCACGACAACATCTGTGGAAAGAAGGCCTAGACTATCTACATGGTACCGGTCATGGCGTAGGGTCATATCTGGTATTACGCCCTACATTTGTCTGATCTTTCCTCCTCAAGTGCTAACATGTTCCAAGAATGTCCACGAAGGTCCGATCGGACTAGGCACTCGAGTTCAGTATGCTGAGGTTGCCATTACCCCAGGAAACGTGATATCTGACGGTATGTTCTAAGCGATGGTTGGGTATTATTGCCTTGAAGCCTGCTAATAGTCCTGTAGAGCCTGGCTTCTATGAAGATGGAGTCTTCGGCATTCGCATCGAAAGTATGTTTCCCCACATCTACCAATAAGCGTAGTATTTCCAACTAACGCCTGTCATAGACATTATCATTGCCAAGGAGGTGAAAACAACGCATGGCTTTGGAGAGAAACCCTGGTTAGGCTTTGAGCATGTTACTATGACACCATTGTGCCAAAAATTGATCAACCCAAGCCTGCTCACTGACGGAGAGAAGAAATGGGTGAACGACTACCACAGTAAAGTTTGGGAGAAGACTAGCAGCTATTTCGAGAACGATGAGCTGACGAGAAACTGGCTTAAGAGGGAGACTCAACCTATCTGAATGAATTGACAAATTCATGGATGGAATGTTAGATAGGCTTGATTCTTATTCGGAGTACCACCACGTGTGGAGGGGTATTGGCGCATGGCAATGTGTCAATGTTTCCCATATTTGTATAAATTCAATATTCCTATAGTATTTATGGTGGCTATCGGTATTGTTGATGTACCATTTAGTATGATCGTTGTGAGTTTGTGATAGATTTACGCGCGCACGGCGTATACATTAGAGAATCCATACAATGCTGCTGACGTCGTATTTACATGTATTGTATTCGTTCGTATGTTTTACAGATAAGCCAGGTCCAATAATGACCAGAAAAGGTACCTTACATATTTAAATGCTAATTCATAGTTACCTGTAAAATCGCATTCGAATCTTCATATTAAGTCGCGAATGGCGAGGGACCTAGTGGTGCAAGAACGCTTATTTCCAGCGAACGATTAGTTAAATAACCATGTATCGTGACTTCATCCCATCCCTACCCTCACATGACATCGCTCCAACGACTCGATTGTCAGTCCAAATATATCATATATCCTTCCTCAACCCCCAAATAAAGCCTCAGAATTGGGTCGCAAAACCTCCCCGAACACCATGAGCCCCCTTTCTCCAACCCAACCCCAACAGCCCAGTCAATCCTAAACCGACACACCTCTGCAAGCTGGCATGAGCAGAACAGGCCTTCCCAACGGCGGCCCGTCGTCGGGCCGTTCCGAACGAGACTACGGGCCCTACAGAGGGGACAATGCCTCACTGAGTACCGTGTCGAGCTCAGGGTACGTTTCCTCCCGGGAGCGCCGCGCTGGCGGCTACGGCGGGTTCTATGAAGGCGGTTCCCCGGCCGCGTCGTCGACCTCATTACAGAGTTCTGAACAACCTTTCCCCTCGTCCTCCCGCTCGCGACCCTATGATACTGAAAGACCCTTGTGGGGTAGTGGCGGCGGTAGAGATGAAGTAAGGTATGGAGATGGTGGGAGGAATCGGGATGGCAATAGGTCCGATGCTACCTCTGGAAGGAGTGGGCCGCTACCGATTGACGGTATGTTTCGTTGTACTTCTGGTGGGACTAGGATGGTGTCTACGGTTTATGATTGTTTCTGGACCCGGTAATACTGTGCGTGATGCGTGAGCTGACTTGAGTTTGGAAATAGATGTCCTCCGGACGATACAGCAGGATTGGGACTTTATGGCCACCGACGACTGCATACCGGTTCAGGTTGGCTTACAGTTGATGGACTCAAGTACCCTGGGCAAGGCGGATCGAGAACCAGATTTTATACGGACACATAAGCAGATACAAAAATCTTTGAAATCGATTGTCAATGGTTTGTTGGGTCTAATTTTCGCACCCCAATAGATGCTTCACCAGTGCGACTACTAATGAACTATTGTTGTAGAACACCACCAGGGTTTCAACAGCTCTATTGGAACATACCACACAATCCAGTCGAGTATCCAAAGTTCTCAAAATCGACTTCGAATGCTTAAGGGGACCCTGATCGAAGCTAAAGCGGGTTTACTTACAACGAAGCCGGAGTTGAAGGGTCTTGCGACGGCTTCCCAGAATTACGATGATATACTACAATTGTTCGGCCAGATTGAGAATATTCAATCATTACCGGAAAAACTAGAGGCGCGCATATCGGACAAGAGGTTCATTGCGGCAGTAGAAATCCTCAAGGATGCACTACGGCTTGTGAATAAGTCGGAATTTGACGGAATCGGAGGTCTTCGAGATCTCCGAACGTACTTCAGCAACCAGGAATTATCATTAACGGATATCCTGATCGAAGAGTTACATGATCACTTGTACCTCAAATCTCCGTATTGTCAAGACCGCTGGAAATTGACAACCGGCGACGAAGGCAAGGACGGCCCAAGGCAGATCGGTTTAAGTAGTGGGACAAATTGGGAGAAACCAGTTTACCATTTCTTAGCCCATCTAGACATGACAACTCCCGTTGCGGAAGACGCATCACGTAATCCGGAGGCTGATACGTTCCATTACATCCGTGTGGTCATCGAGGCGTTGAACAAGATGGGCAATCTTGAACTTGCTGTCGATCGGATCGAGCAGAGGCTCCCGGTCGAGCTCTTTGCAGTTGTCGATAAGACAAGTTCAGAGGTCGCCACCCGTTATCCTGAACACAGGAGAAATCCACAGTCACGAGACACTACGGTCCATGGCATGCCTAACGAACTGGGTGGAGACAGGGGACACGTTCTGTCAGAGTTTATGTGGAACCTCTATGCGAAATTCGAGGCTATCGCCGAAGGCCACCGCATCGTGCATGATGTCGTTGCTGGTATTGTAGAGCGGGAGAACATTCGGAAAGCTGGATCACTTACAAGTGGTTTCAAGGAATTGTGGAAACTTTATCAAAGCGAGGTGAGTTAATTATATTTATTTCTCGATTTTTTTAATGGTAGCAGGATATAACTTACAATTACTAGATTCGGTCCCTATTACACGATTACCTAGCCACAGATGGAGAAGTCAGCTATCGGGCTCCGGCGAATATCTCTGATGATAAATACACACCCAACTCCCACAAAAGAGATAAGACAAAGGTTTGTAGCTGGATGATCCTATGATGGCTTGAACATGCTAACAGATAATGCAGAAAATGTTCAAACTCTCCGAAGTGGACGATAAATCATCAGAAATGAAGGCAGAACAGGACGAGTTAGAGGAGATCCTAAGGTCGTCAGTGCCCGGCCTCGTGTCGAAATCGCGACAGAAGACATCTACCACCGACTCGTCCAGGTCAAGACAAGAAAGCTCTGGAACCGGACATAAGCTCCTGATCGAACCCAGTGTTTTCAATATGAGCCTACTTTTGCCGCCGTCGCTCTCTTTCATTCAACGATTGAAGGATATTGTCCCTCTCACTTCAGATATTGTCATGAGCACCCTTACCTCATTCCTCGACGACTTCATGATCAATGTCTTCCAACCACAGCTGGATGAAGCTGTAACAGACCTCTGCGCGCTGACTTTTATTGCAGTGGATGCATTTACTGAAGATCCGCAGTGGACAAGGGTTTCACCACGACCCGTTTTTAAAGTATGTACCTTGACCCTCAGATTATTCCTCAGGGAGGTGATTCTAATTTATTTGCAGGGAACAATTGCTTTCATGGAGCTCGTCAAATCATTTAGCAAAATGCTAAACAGTATTCCGCATGATCAGGCATTCACGCAGCTGGTGATAAACCAGATCGTAACCTATTATGATAAATGTTGTGGCATGTACAAAGGTACGGATCCGCTTACATTTCCTCGAATTCTTTGAGCAATGCTAAAAGATATGTCTAGCACTGGTTTCGCGGGTGTCTCCTCGGCCCACTGGAGGGGTACAGCCGAAAGCTGCTGCTGGGTACGCTGAATCCGGCGAAATTCGAGAGGCTGCCAAAGAGCTGTGGGAATGTGGCAACGGCAAACGACAGGAGTTGATCGCCAAAGTACTTACATTTTTCCCTGGCGTGAAGTTTCTGGCGGATTATTTTACTGATGCAAACTCGTTAGGAAATCGATCTTCTCATAAAATACACAAACGAAACGCCTCTTGAGCCGTACGACATCGTTTCAGACCCCAAAACCGTTTTCTCGCTCTCGCTCCTCTACAACAGCATGGTATGTACAAGTGCTATGTATCCTCCAAGGGAGAACGCTCCTAACAGAATACAAACAGCAATGGCTTGTCAGCAGCCTCTCTCGACTTCGCCACATAACCAACCACGAAACAGATTCTAACCGGCGTCAATCCACAGGCCGAATGCCTAACACACGGCGCTGGACGCTCCTCTCCTCCGTGAATCGCAACCGCGACAGCTCCAGCAACCCGATCCACCTCCCCATGACCGAAGACTCTGTTCTTGGCTTCGATACCACACTAGAATCACTTCAAAACCTCGCCTTAACAGCCTTGCTAACCCTACACATTGACCTCCGCTGCGGCGCTATCCACATGGTCACTCGCAGCCTCGCCAGCAACAACACTTCCCCTTCCGCGCGCTCAACCACCCCCCCAGCCTCCGCTTCAAACACTACAGAGTGGCCGCACGTCCTACCCACACCGCCCTCCTCCGCCTCGCCAGCAATCATAGAGCTGAACAACGACCTGATCTCCTTCGACGCCAACACAGCCACCTACCTCGGCCCGAAGGAATGCCGCTTCATAACCTCCGGCCTCGCCCAGCTGATAGACCGCGCCTTCGTCTCCGCGACACGCTTCATCGGCGCGATGAACCACAACGGCGCCCTCCGCCTCCAACTCGACGTGCTAGTCCTGCAGCAGAATCTGAAAAACATCATCGTGCATCCTCCCCCTTCTCCTCCCACTGCGCTACCACCGCCATCCTCATCCTCCTCCACCTCCACCTCCAAAGACACAGAACCAGGACCCCACCAACAACCCCACCAACAAGAAGAATCAGAACCAGAAGAAGAAATAATCGCGCTCCCCCGCTCCGCCAAATTCCTCGACTGGTTCCTCGACGGCCCTGACAAAGCGCTCGAGCACGCGCACGCTGAGCGCGAAGAGTTCCGGCAACACGGGAGCGAGAAGGCGCTGCAGGCGGGTAATGGGGAGCCGTTTACGTACGAGGAGCTGAAGGTGCTTGTGGAGCTGTGCTTTTCGGCGATTCTGAGGGTCCCTGAGGGGAGGGAGAGTGGTAGTTTTGGTAGTACTAGTCGTGAGGACGTTTTGGCGGCGAAGAGGGCGTGTGGGGATGCGTTGTTGAGGTTGAGTGAGGTTATGTGGGATTCGTAGGGCGGAGGGCGGAGGGCATACGGTGGGATGGTAGGAAGAGGCGGAGGGGGAAGGAGAAATGGAGGGATGTTTGTTGAGTTTGTTGTGTATGTATGTACATGTACGTATGTGCGCATAATATCTATATGTGGGCGATTTCTTTCCCTTGTTTTTGATTTCTTTTCCCCCTTCCATTTTGAATCTGGGAGATCCCTGCTCCTCCGTTTGATCTAACGGTGGTAAATCATTCTATACAGCAACATAGAGATATTGTATAACCGTATCGATGGCTATAATCCCTCCCCTACATCAATTCTCTTCCGCCATCAGCCTTTCCTACACATACCCTCTCTTGTTTCATCTTTCTTGTCCGTAACCACAGCACGGCTCCACACACAGCTTGAAAATAAATATATATCATAACCTATTTGCTAAAACTATTTAACTAAAGAAAAATAAAGCTAAAGCTGAAGATAGAGAAGCTTAAAACATAAATGACAAAATATCACGCCCCCTACTCAGTTAGGTTAAATCAAATGAATTAATTGAATTAATCGAAGGAATCAAAGTAAATAGTCAATGAAATGAGGATAAAATAGATATAAATATAAAATAATAACAAATTCAAAGTCGAAGTCAATAATCATCCATGCCAGCCAGCCGTTACAAATTGCAAATGTGCGATAAGAAAAAACCAAACCAAACAAAAATAAAAATGAGTAAAAATGAGTAAAAAACGGGGAAAAAACGGGTCGCAGTAAGAATAAATATCGAATAGAAAAGAAAATAGAACAAAGAACCCAGGCAAATCAGGAACAAGAAGGGAGAGGTGATTATAGAAGGGGGAGAAAGGGCAAAAGAAAACAGACGGTCGGTAGAAAAATAAAAAAGAATCCACGTATAACCACCACACTTGGAAAACAAGGGAAAGAGAGCCACGAAACATAGAAACAATGAAAGAAGAAGAGGAACAAGACGAAGAGAAAAACAAATCCCAACAACCCCATATAACTATATCAAAAAATCCACATTTTTATCAACTCCCCCCACAACTCTTATCCTACCCCCTCTTACTCCTGCCCCTGCCCAACACCGACCTGTCCGACCTGTCCGACCTGTCCGACCGGTCCAACCTGCTGCGGCTCCCCACCCCCTTCAACATCCAAGAGCCCCAAATCCTTCTCATCCATCTCATAATCCTCAAACTCCAGCCCGGCCTCTCTACACCTCTGAATCCATTTCCTCGCCACCTCCCCGCGCCGATTAACTTCGCCCTTCAACTTGGTGTTCTGCGCACTAATCTCCGCCAGCGCGTGGTTGGTGGTCATGTTGGCCGTATCCCAGCGCGCAGCCATGTCCTTGGCTTCGTCTTGGAGTTTGCTGATGTAGTGGATTGCCCGCTGGAGGATGGAGCCCTTGGCCTTTTCGCAGCCAGGGACCATCTTGGCAATTTCGTTGATGCCTTCATTAATTGCTTCGCGGCGGCGGCGTTCGACTACAATTGGGATTTTTCATGTTAGCACGTGATAACAGATATATTTGGGACAAGGTGTGGACGTTATCTCACCTTCTTTATGGTTATTCTTGCGAATAGTATGCCATTCCGCAGACCCGACCGTTGGCTTCGGGTTAATGTTCTGCGCTTCGCGCGCCGCATAGACGGCCGCAGCGGTCGAATGGCCATGTACGTTGGTCATAGGGACCTGATTAACATCTTCGGTGAACGTGAGACCGTGGGCCATTGCGGCATTGTTCTCGAAGCTTGGGTCTGGCGGAGGGTATTTGGATTGTGGGCTGTGCGCGGCCAAAGCAGCCTTGGCCGTCATGGCGTTGTCGTCAGGCACTCCATTCTGATTTCCCACATGCTGTAATAGCTGTTGATCGATTTGGCTGAGCTCAGTCGTGTTTGTGGGCAGACCATGGGTTTCGTATCCTGTCGGACGCACAATGTTAGGTAAAAAGCTATACCCATTGTCTGAATACGGCTTAGGTGGTAGAACGAACCATGGAGATTTCCATTGGAGTTTTGCCCATGCGCAGAGCGTGTCATACGCTGTCCGTCGCCGGCGTCCATCATTTCACGCTTGCGCTTGTTGGAGCCTGTTGATCCGTCTGCAGGGTTCATTTGCTGATCGGACATAGTTTCCTGGGGGCAAATTGTTTGCGATGTATCTAGATCAATTCCCAGGTTAGTGTCAGCAGCATTGTCGCACTAAATGGGAAACCACGCTATGGCAAAAGTGCAAGAAACAGTTCCAGTTTGGGGGGAAGAGTAGCTCTTGTGGGGTCACGCGAGAGGATTAAAAAAGAAGTCGAACGTCTGCAACAATAATAGCCAATGATTGGAGGTTATAAGTGTTTGTGATATGACTTGGATGGCAAATGGAGGGGGATGGTCCGAATCAACTCGAGCTAGACAAGGTCTCATAAATTCTCTACACGCCCCACCGAAGGCAGTGCTGCAGAAGACGCGTTCTTTTTCTGAGACCAAGGAAGCACAACAGGGTCAGGAGAGGAAATAGTGGCCGGAGCGTTCATTCACACAATGACCGCGGTGTGTCACCAACAATGGAAAAATAGTTATAGCAGCGTAGTGACGAATGAAAAAATTCCTGGAAGAAAACGAAAATGCGACAAGTTGGTACGGGACGGGATTTTTCTAGCAGCGATATCCAGGCGTAATATAATGTGCAACCCCGTTCAACGAGGTGGAGAGAGACAAGAAAAGCCACGAAATATGAAACCGGAGATGAAAAGAGGGAGGGGGCGGGGAGGGAAAAACCCACCACAACGCGATGGCAAATCTTCTCTAGACGGGTAACTTAAAAACCGGTAAAACTCGTAGTCCTCGAGGATTTGGATCCTATAAGATTCTACAGGAGAAAACAGTCGTGTAAGCAAACTGGATATTGGCTTGTTAGACGCGTTGAGATGTTTTTCAGGCCATGCCGATCGCGAGTCGCGGATACAGCAGGGAGACAGGAAGAAAAACGCCCGGGAATCTCTCGCATGGACCAGGCCATCGCATCCAGAAATACCACCGCGCGATCAGGGTGGGAGATATATAAGGATCATGGGAAGGGGAAGATATAGATAAGATTGATGGATGGGGGGTATCGAGGGATGAGGCGGCTAGATGAGGGCACGATATGGGGGAATTTTGGGGGAGATTGGGATGGTGAAACTGGCAAGCAGAAAGCAGGGGAATAGCCAGCGGGAATTTGACGAGGCAGTTGAAGTTGAGGATGCTGATGATGCTGGCGATGCTGGTGATGCTGGTGATGGGGTCGACGATGGTCTTGATGCTGGAGCGCGTTTCTATTGACTTACCCGTTGGTGGTTTTTATCAGGTGACAAGAGGTCACCTGCTTTCTCTGGGGGATATAGATATTGGAAGCAGAATGAATATATTGCTCCGCAAATGGCGAAGGGGCAATGAATAAAAACGGGGTGTTTTCCAGTTTGCGGGAAACAGACGGCGGGCGGCGAACAATAAAAACAGCAATAATAGGGGCAGACAGCGGAATGGAGGGTGGTATATATGCTCTGGCACTGCTATACGGACTCGCTTTCGCTGCTTGGGTCTGGCGTGAGAGCGAACAAGAGGACTCACGTGGCGAGAGAAGAGGAGGAAGAGCCTCGCTTATTAAGGAAGCCCGTCTACGGCGGGCGGGGTGCACATGTGGCGCAACAATACAGCAGCAAGAACAACAGGCTTAATAATCACTCCAAGTGCACTGCGCGACTTATCTATCTTCTACAAAATCAACATTTCCCCATACTGACCCTACCCGCCCTTTTTTATCCTTGAACATCAACCGTGGACATCAACCATCAGCAGCAAACTTCATCCCTAATTAATCCCTATCCCCTCCACACCCTCCACACCCTCAATCTCCTCAGTCTCCTCAGTCTCCTCCCCCTCCGCAGATCATGTGCCCAAATCCCGTGGCCAGCCCCAGGCTTTCCTCCCCTCCGCCGTGGCTGGCTGACCAATCATCGCTCTCATCCTCCATTCCCGCCTCTGATTGGTTCTGCACCCCTCTCGGATCACGCGGCCTGTCTAGCTTCTTTCGGCCATGCGCTATCCTCCTTTTGGGCCAAATGCGTCACCCAGCGGCCCGTGCGCAGAAGGCTGTGCACGTGAGCACTGCTTGCCCTAATTAATTCCAAGACAACAGGATGGATGAGGGTTGAACCAACCCCCCCTCCTCTTACCACTAGTTATTATCTAGTTACATACCTGGGTACACCGCCAGGTTCTCCTTTTGGCAGTTGTAGATATTCCAGGTTCGATTTAATATCAAGTATGTGCTTGTTGTCTATCCGCTACCCCGTTAACAGAGAGGTGGGTGTGGGTGAGAATATATCTGCCAGTTCCTGCTGGAAGTCTTTTGATATACAGTCAACCTGAGTCTCCCCTCATGATTCTCTCTGCTTAAAGGGCTAAATGATGCTGCTGCTATGCATATCTCGACCCTCCTCCCGTCTCTCCTTCTACGGGAGGCTGACGACATTCAGCTATGGGAACTTATCCCGTGATGACCGATGGACGCTGCTCTCTCTGTCATACATAGAATTCCCCCCCAATTTTGGTTGTCGTTTACTTACTTACTCTTCACGTGCTGCCTGATGAGCCTGGCTGTACCCACTCCGCCTTCTGCGACATCGAGTAAAGAAGAGTGGAAAAGAGTTTATACATAGGGAAGAAGAAGAAAAAAAAGAAAGGAAAAGAGAAACAACTGCCCACCTCCCTCCTCAAATCCCGTGCATCTAACCCTAACATAACATAATTAGCTAACCTTAAAACAAAAGCCTCTTTAAGAACGTACCATAATAACCAATCAACACTCCCTTCCAACCCTGTACGTTGATGGCTTGTGACAGTCATCTGTATCTACAGACTGTATCCTAAACGCATAGGAACTAGGAGACGGCGAAAGCGTGAATAGGAGATTCATTCCACAAGCCCTGCTGTGCCCCTCTGCTTCCCCCACCCCTCCTGTGTCTATGTTGGTGAAGTGCAACATGTTGGTAGTTCGCGTTTGTCTGTGCCATGTACATGTACCTCTACTGTATAAACGTGCGCATAGACGGGGACAAAACGATAACGGCACGCAGTTTTTGATATCTCTATGCAAGCTGCTGGTGGTGGTTGGTTAAAAGAAAAAAAAGGAGAGAGGTTCAACTGTGTGAGTTGATGGCTGATATTTTCAGACGGGATAAAACATAGAATAACGCAAAGGGGGCGTAGGAAAGATATCTATTTAATTTTCTATGACTTACCCGAACTCGCGGAAACATTCACTTCAGCAATGAGAAAGGTACAGTAAAATACAATAACAACAGAATATCATCATATCATCTCTTATAAAACATTAAGGTATCGAGGCCTGACGACATCAAGTCACTTATGTGACGATGTAGATTAGGAGCAACCCATAGCTATCTGGGTCGTAACCAAAAAGTACTTTAAGGATTAAGCCTCATCACCCCCCGGCTCTCTCATCCGAAACACATACTTTGGCTCTGCCTCCGTATCAACGAAGCAAACCCCTTCCTCCGCACGACCTAGCATCTCCCACACAAGAATCTCCGCCTCCTCACCTCCTGATTCCCCTTTTGCTCTCCAGCTCTCACTTCCATCCTCCCTCCGCCCCCGCCTAATCCCAACAATACAACTACTCCCCGCATACCTTGCCACCCCATCCCCGTCCTTCCCAATCCTAAAGCCCCCCTCCTCAACCCCAACCCGATTCGCGAAGACGAGAATAACCATCCCAGCTTCACCCTGCCCCTCCCCTTCTCCCTCCCGCTCCCCCTTCCCCGCAGCTCGTACTAACGGCCAAAACCTCAAAAGCCAATACCTAAACGTCTCCATATCCGGCCGGCGCGCTAACGCCAACTTCTCCTCCTCCCCCCTTTCCCCTTCCCCTTCCCCTTCCCCTTCCCCTTCCCCTTCCCCTAGCTCTCCAGGATTCAACAGCGTCAACCACGCCATGGGCAGCAGGACGAGCCGTGCGCCGCTGGCCAGAACGTGCGTGGCGAATTCGTAGACTGTCCAAGGCGCGAGGAATTTGTACGGGTTTATGTCCATGCAGATGCCGATGGCAGTGGGGATGGCGGTGGTGGTGGTTGCGTCTGTGTCCGGGGATGTGGTCGTGGACGGAAGCTGGAGATGCAAGAAGCCCTTCCCGTTCCGACCCTCGGCGGCCCATGGTTCGTCGGTGTAGTATAGGAAGCGCTTTTGGTAGTTGTAGAGGGTTGAGCCAGTGGGAGAGACGAGGAGGGCGGAGTTGAAGCGGGATGGGGCGGTGGTAGTGTTGTTGCTGTTTTTGTTGCTTTCCTCGTTGGTTGTGTTTTTTATACTTCCATCATCATTTGTCCTTTGAACGTCGGCTATAGGTTTATTTTCTTTCCCATCGCCATGGCTGGTGTGATGCCGGTCTGCTTTTGCCGGTTCATCAGAGTTTTTATTTCTCATGGCCGCATGAATATCACTTCTTAACGGCGGCAATGATAATGCTGATGTTGCCGGTGAAGTACTTTGGGCTTCTGCAAGCTCGGGGTAACCCACACAAACGACGCAACCGAGGCGGCGCGCGGCGGATCGAGCCCATTCCGCTGTTGGTCCAGATGTTGTGGGCTCAAGATACGGCCGGATGGCCTCTAGGGATGGGAAGTTGTAGCCTGCGATAAAAGTTAGCGGGTTATTCTATTCTCCCGTCGTGGTTAGACGAGTAACTATTCCAGGCTTTAATTATAAAGATAAAACAAGGTCGGAACTTTGAGGGGCCGTGATAATATTATCACTCTGCCTGCCTTCCATACCATGTAGAGGATAGACTTGTTATCATTAAGAGGGTGGTAATAACAATAAAAACAGGATGGGAGTCTCCAGTAAAGAATCAATCACCGGTAGGTACTGCCTCAGGCTCTCCAGCGCAGCCATGTCTGCATTTTCTCAAGCTTATCCATACGTACGTCCACCCCAAAATCCCCCCAAAAATATAATAAAAGATCTCAATTAAAGAAAACTCGGAGAAAAAAGAAATATTAAATAAACCTCACCTACCGGTAAAAGCCATCTCCGGCAAAACCAATACGTCTAGCAACCCCGCTAGAGCGCCTGCGCTCACACCTGAGCCAGCAGGCATACTACTGCCACCATCTGGCTGAGCTCCACGCTTCAACCTCATCAACCTCATATCTAAATCATCCACCAGCGCATTCGCGCGGCGGATATTGCCCTCCACATCGCCCCGTCGCGGCGAGAGCTGGAGGGTGGCGATGCGCATCTGTGAGGATTTGTGGTGGTGTACGGATGGCTTATTGGTGCATAGCCTGTATAGAGAAAGGAAGAAAGACGAAAGGGAAGAAAGGGGGCCGAGAGGGAGAAAATGCAGTCAGTGCGGGTGATATATGTATGTTTGATGTCCATATCTACTTATCTCAGCAAGCTCAGACGCTTCTCCAGATATTCATTGCTGTTTTAACACTGGATTGATGATTATGTCATGAGCTAACCTCAAATAAGCAATAAGCTAACCCAAATAGTAAAATCAGGTCATGTGAGTGATGATATCTTGTGAAGTGTCTGAGAAGAAATGATTCCTGATTATTAGCAACACGGGAAGGATTTGCTCAGTACCCTGAGTATGAAAGAGAATTTCAACTCAACTTCATAGATTCATCATTTCTGTATCACCTTGGAACCTTAGAATAACAATGTTCTCACAATGTATCTGATTTTTATATTCATATCTCAAGTTCTTAGGATAGAAGTATCACCTCAAAGTTGACCAGTGTGTTTTTGAACATAGGAATTTTTATCCAATTCCTCATATAAAAAAAAGCTCTTAGAAATTCTGAGATCAAAAAATATGATCATTTTCAAAGAGTATACATCTATCTTAAATATAGATTTTTTTGAAATATTAAAGAAATATTTCTATTCTTCTTCTCTTTAGCTATAAGCTAAGGTGATTTTCAAATCTCAAAGATATGTGAGTATATAGTAATAGAAAGTCAAAGTTGAAGAATCTGAAAAATCCTTGTAAATCTCAGAAATCTTCATTGAAGATGGAATCATTTCTTCTCAGACCCTCTGGCGAGGATTGCTCTGAGCACATGACTTGTATCAAAAGTAGGTTAGTATCATGCTGGATTAACTAGTTAATAATAATGCTGCAACCCGTTCAAACCGAGCCAGAGGGTCTGAGCCCGCTGAGATAAATATCTACAAAGATCTTATCTAGTGATTGATCACGTGATGTACAGATAGCGACATACAAACCTCCTCCTCCTCCTCCTGTTATCCCCTTGAAGAAAAACTAAACTGTTCACACTTATTATATCACTTCTATCGAACCACAAACGCCTCATGGATCCTCCGTCCACCTACCTTCCGAAACCCCCAGTCCCCTATGTCGAGGGCTGGGTATTCACCGCCCACTCACACATTCCTCCCCCGCCTACACGAGTAACCAAAGACTATTGCCGCAACTTTCAAACTGGTAGAGCAGAGAGAAGACAACTTCTCTCAGTTGAGCAGTGCTTGCGGCATCCTCCATTACCAGGAAGCATAGGATCATGCACCGTCAACTTGAAGATTCTAAATTTATTGAGGGTCGGGGATGGTTGCAATGCCCAAGTTTTCACTGTTAAGGTTCTCAAAACTAGACCTAATCCTCAATGCTTCCAATCAACTAGAAAATTGGTTGCTGAAATATACGACCCTCTTTATTTCAATGATGAAGAAGGATTTATTAATCCTTTTCTTTGTGTGGACAAACACTATACCCATGAAACCCACGCGTATGGTGTTCTGTCTAAGTTACAGGGAGAACAAGTACCCAGGTTCTACAGGTCATATTCATTATTGAATATTCCTGTTGAGCAGTCTGAAATCCGGACAGTTCGGCTTATTCTAGTGGACTATATACCAGGGATATGAATACATCAAGCCAATCCAGAAAATTTTTCTCGCCATTCTCGCCAAGAGGAGATCATCAAATCAGTGATCAACTTTGAAAGTCGAGTCTACAAGCAAAATATTTTACTCACAGATCTAAGCCCTAGAAATGTCATCATGGTAGAGAAGCCTGGTTTTGATCCAAAACAAAGTCTTCTGTTCCTTGACTTTGCTGATGCTCTTTTCGGTCGCAGAAGAGATGATCCAGTTGCTATCAGATCAAACTTGTTCCTTGGTCAGTACATTTCACCTCTTCTACGGTGGGATAAAACTATGGCTATGCAATTCAATGACTGGATTGATTGGGATTGGCAACCCTGGATCGAAGCCGAGTACACTTATACTGCTGCAGCAATCACACCGGAAATGCGGGACACCTACGGCCGATAACTTGTCGCTGTCATTTTCCACTTTGCACTTGCTTCGTTCTGCTCTCTGGCCACATCCTAACGCCTTTCAGTACGTCTCCCGCGGTAAGCGGTATCTTTTATCCTAGGTTTGAAGTGTCTTTTGTCAACTTCATCACTTTGTTTTGTCTCCTCATCGAATATTTGTTAGTTGTACTATCCGTACAGTACGATGTATGCTAATGTCCAATTCACTTCTTTACCTACTGCTCCCCATTGTTTAGTCTACAAGTATACCGGTGGCAGAAAGAATAGATTTCTTTTGAATTTTGTTTTGTGATCGGGATCAAATATTGCAATTCCAAAACGGTTGTTCAAAGAAGATGTCAAATCTATGCTTAATAACCCCCCCCCAGCTTTGAGCTCTAGGTATGTGTGGTTTTGCCAATACTCTCACGCAGAGGCACATTGTGTATCTTGAGTGTATGAGCCTTGAAAGGTATGATATCAGAGGAAATGAAAACTATTATTTCTTGTCTTTTCCAGATTCTGAATTAGTTACACTGATCTCTGTTGCATTAATAGTATTATACTAATTGTGTTCTCACAGCCAGATGAGAGGATAATAAATTGAGAAACTATCAAATGCCTCTCTTGGGACTCCAATTGACCTCACTTATGACTGTGCAAGACAGTCACTCACACCTTCACACACCCTTGCTGGCCCCCTCAGCATTCACCCTCACATTGGCTCTGAGAATGATGGATACTTGAATTACCGTAATTTTTTTTTTCTTTTTTTTCTTTTTTTTTTTTTTTTTTTTTTTTTTTTAACTATCGTCATCCCCGCCTGGCTTGTTGGTTCTCAATATTTTCTCATCATTCCATGTCTACTTCTCTGCGTGCTATCTCTTCATTTCTATTCAGTATTTCTCTGTCCGCGAATTCTCACATCTACATCTACTGGAGACAGTTGGCCTACTTCAATCCTCCTCGTAGGACCCCAAGGCGGATATATTGCATGATGACCATTGCGAGATCCCAAGCGCCGAAAGCGGCCAGGTCTCGCGCAGCACGCCGTCAAACTTCTCCAGGAAAGCCGAACTACAAGCCATATTTGATGCACATAAGGATGCAGGATGCACGCCAAAAGATGACTCTGACAACTTCAAAAAGAAGAAGCAAACTGTCCGGCGGAAGCTGAAGCGGTAAGACCCCGAAATCTAGGTGAAATGGAACTCTGACCCTGCTTATCACACCAGCTTCTGCCTTGAACAACTTGATATCACTCCTGAAAAGTTCATCCAGGAGATATGGGCTGCCCATGTCAAGACATTTTTTGATTGGCTTAGGAGGAGGACTCACCAGAGACGCATCAAGGCAGTCGACTGTCAACTCTTATTGGCGGGTTCTTAAGTCTCTCTTTGTGGACAAACATGGTTTCAGCATTGATGAGGGTATGAGGGAGGACTGTGTCAATGTACATGTAAATGTACGTTCACCAGAATGCGGGCTGGCTGGATCTAACTAACATTCCCAGTATAAAAGTCATTTGATCAAGCTGTGGGGCTTCGTTTACTGCCCAAGAGAAAGCCATCCGGCACTAAAGGTGATCTCTACCCCATCCTCCATGACCACTGGACGCGCTGTACGAAAGCCTATGCCGGTGAGAAACAGCGCCTTTATGTTGCTGCCGGTATTCCGTCGTTCATCTCCGGTGCCAGGTTGGTCTCACTATTTGACACCCGGGTAAAGAAGGTGGATGAAGAGGCAAAAGGGAAACCAACAGTAGTTGTGGTAGTCTGCAGGAGCTCAAAGAGCATTGCGGGCTCTCAAAATCGCCATTCAAAGGAGACGAATTCTCCTGACCTTCAGCCGAAGGTGGGATTCTGGATCAGGTATCGAGATGGCGGATCCAAAGCACCAAGGAAACGCAAGAGGGAGCCTTCAACTAGCAATGAGAGATCTCACGATTCAAAGGCTCAGCAAAGCCATCAATTCCCTCAAACGACACCTTACAAAGAGATCATATCTGACACTGAATATGAGGAATCAGAACGCCATCCTAGTGGCGATACGAACCCTGACCTAGAGTATATTGATGAAGGGAGCGACAGCGATGAGAGGGAATCAATCGTCAGTAACGAGCCAGAGGGAGATAACGACATCGAGTTATCTATGGGATCCGTGGAGGGCGGCAATGGTAGTGATATCGTTGCTGGAAATGACTTCGATGAAGTTGATCGCTTCGTTGAGGATGTGACGGACGACGAGTACGATGCGAGGAGACTGGACCCTTGCCTGGCAGCATATTGAATTTCATATTATCTGTAGCCCCGTGGCAGGACGACCAAATATCCTCCTAGCCAAGGCGACCGTGCTTCATACCAAAAGCGAAGACAAGAAGCCGCGAGTTGTAATTCCCACCCTTTTGGTGGTTTCTGCCTTCGAATACTGACCAGCACTGCAGGAAAACGTTCGTCATCAGTCATAACCCAGAACCAATACTTGACCTCCTGGGCCATTTCCTGTCCATGGCTATCAACGATGATAACTTCACAGCCGAGTTCAAGTAGCTTGAGGATATCTACTGGCAACCCATCCCGTCGCACCTCCAGGGTATGAACTTGAAGATCAAGATAAAGAAACTCGACCAGCCAGTCTTCCGCCAACCCGAACGCACGGCAGAGGGATATCAAACATCAGAGACAAAACCCCTCAAGGCATCTACATGGCAGGGCTACCGCCGGCACGTCGGCTTACTGAGCGGGCTGGAATATGCCTTGACTCAGTATGTCTGGCGACGCTCGCTTATCAGCGCTATTATCAGTATGTGGCTTGTTCCTTTGAAGCTATAAATCCCTCTCCACTTTTCTCTCAATGTTCAATTTTGATGCCTCAAGTGTGCTTTCTCTCTGCATTCTATTCATTTTATCTCTGCCTACTTTCTGAAGCAGCCGTACTCCCCATGCGCTTCAAATGTGGGTACAATAACTGTGACATCTCAGCGGGTGAGGGATGGAATTTTAGAAGAGAGAATTGGTTTGTATCATAGAACCACGATGCAATTTAGCATAAGATGAACATATCAGTAGCAAAAGAGGAGTCAGGAGAATGTACTGTATTCCATCACATCAATGAAAGAGAAATGACATACATTGGTGGATCACAAAGAGAAACGAGACCTGTATTTATGGAGCCCAGGGAGTATCCTGCTTCTCAACCAGAGTCAATATTTGAGTGACCTTTGATTACACCTAAGTGCATCAAGAGGTTATCTTCCTGTTTTTTTACTATAAATTTCCCTCCCTTACACCCTGGAAACGCATCATCTTTTCCATTTCAATATCAAACCATTTGCCTGTTCTAGCCACCCAAGCACCGGTCACAAGGCATAAGCAATCAAAGGACTAAAGATGTGTTTATTGCTCTACTCAGTGATGGGGCACTTTTTTTGTTTGAGAAGGAGGGAACAAATAGTATGGGAGCTGAGAGCGAGAATGAATAGAAGCAGTCTCACTGACACTGGCACTTCAGCCTGCCTTAGAGCTGGCATTTCTCAACAGTTGGGAATGTAGCTGATGCAAGTACCTTAACAAACCTGATATTCTTTTTTAGGCTGTTCATTACTCATGTTGATAGAGACCTTTTGCTCAGATCAACATTGATACCAAAAGCACAAGCGGTAACTCTAACACGTTGATGCGACGCAGGGGTTGACAGGAGAAATTATGGGTGCGAGTGCAATTCTAGAAGAAAAGCCTCCGATAATTTGTTGAGTGAGAAGAAACTAAGATTGAATACAAAACTTCTGTTAACAGTAGACTGGGGTTTATGCTAGCGACTGATATTCCCGTATCCCTTAAGATTATCTGTCCAATTGTCAACCCTGGTTGATGAATGCCAACTTCTGCATGTTCGCCTTCTCCTTGCTAAAGCTGGGACGTATTTTGCGTGATCTTCAAGTCTCTCGCCAAAACATGGATATTCCGAGAGCAGGAAACTGAGTAAGGGTAGGTGAATTTGCTGAGTTACTTTAGGGCGAGAGGGCTGTATAAAGTTACTGCTTCTTTCTTGGCCGCTTGAATACTTTTGTTTGTTCCGCAGAGGAGGTAGTTGGCATATTCTCTTAAAATGAGTTGGCATCCATATATCGTAGACATTTCTTGTGAATCTGAATCTGTATGCTGTCCATCTCTCTTTGCCATCTAGAGCAGTAAAATCAAACTTGTGAATTGGATGACAGTAGAAATTGGTCTTCTCTTCTTCAAGAACAGCATAGTGACCATAGATCCTCACTGCTGTATGATCATGTGAGATTGAGAAAGCAACCTTGTATCCATGGATATCTCTTGACTGATTCTCTTTTTCCCGCTTCACAAGCTTGAATACACTTATCAATTCTTGTTTAACTGTCTTTTCTTTCATCATATGAGCTGAGAATGATATTTCGTATCTGTAGATTTTTTTTTTATACAGATTTCACAAGAGCCTGCAGAAGTTCTGTATCATCTCAGTCAAAAAAGTAACTGAATATAAGGACTATGTGTGAGTACTGTACTACTGAAGATGATCAATAATACACTTCTAGTTTGCACTCTGCATTGAGCATCATGTATCTTTCATATTCCACGGATGTCTCTGTGAATAAATTGGTTTCATAATTCATCAAGATAAAAAATGGACAGAAATAATGCTGCTTGTACCCTCTAGACTCATAAATAGAAACTGTGCAGATATCCCATGCTTACTGGCCTAAGTGAAGACAACATCAGAAAAAGAATATATGTACAGGACATGCATACATATCAACTTCAAACTTCAAACTCCAAAAACAAATGCCAAAATCCATCGCAAAAGAAAAAAAAAAGAAAAAAAAAAAGAAAAAAAAAAGAGAGAGAGGAAAAAGAACAAAAGGAATCCAACATGTTGATGAGGATATGGAAAAAATCATTCGACCGCGCTTGAGACAACAAATAAAAATAATATCACAACATAATCATCATCATATCATCACAAATCCCCCTCCCTCTTCTGCCGTTTATTTTTCCGCTTCTGCACCTTCCCATTCAGCAATCTGCCGCTACTCGCACTAGTACCACGTGCCGGCGACGGCGACGACGCGATGGGCAGCGACGCAAAACCCTTCGCGCCCGTTTGGCGGATCCTCTGCTCTGTGCGAGATAAGGTACGGCCAAGCCCCAGTGGCGTCGTGGGTGCAAGCGCCACATCGTACCCGTTCACGAGGACGTGAGGGCCATTCATGCCCCTAGAGCTGTCTGGGCCGACGCTAGACCGGCTGAAACGTGGGGCAGAAGTGGGAGCCGGAGGCATGGACATGGACATGGACATGGTCATCGAGTTCCGAAGTTCTGGGACATCATGCCACAAATTCTTGCCGTTTGCGAGGGTATTGGCGGCCATGCGCGCGGCGGAAAAGAGGAGTTCGTCTTCGTTGATTGTGGAATCGGTCAGAGAGCGGGATGCTGGTGGCGGCGGTTGTGGTCGTGGCCGCTGTGAGCTTTTCAGGTTCGTACTCGGACGGTCTAGACTGAGGAGTTCCTCGACTGTTAATAGTCCCTCCGATATGCTTCGGCTAGCTCTATACTGCTCCTTGGCAGTTTCGTCCTCTTCGATGGAATCCGCTTTTCGTTTCGCGATATCTTGCTCTATCAGCTCCCTCTTGGCAGCGTCTTGGCGTGCTGCCTCGCACTCCGCCGCCTCTCTCTTCGCAATTTCTAACTCTGCCGCCCGGAGTTCCTCCTCTTGTTGTCTAGCCATTTCACGCAGCGAAGCCTCCCTCTCAGCCGCTTTAATTTTCGCTTCCTCCAGTCGTCTAGCACGTAACATCTCTTCTTCCTTCCTAGCCTTCTCAAGCCGCTCGAGCCTGGCAGTCTCCTCCGCCGCAGCTCGTTTTCTATCACGCTCCCGCTCAATTTCACGTCGAGCAGCTTCTCTTTTTTCGGATTCAATCCGTTTTGCTTCCATCTCTTCTGCCTTTCTTTTCTTCTCTGCAGCCTCTCGTTCAGCCGCTTTCCGCTCGTCGATATCATCTTTGGATCCCTTGGGTTTATCAATTGAACTTGTAAATTCAAACTTCGGCGCTGGTGCTTTGAATGCTGTACAGAAGAGTAAGCATCGCAAACATTATGATTATCAACAATGGAGATCACAGCAAAAGCTAATCGTGGGCTTTTGAACCATAACTTACCTGGAGACTCCGCCGGCGATGGGAAAGGAGACGAGGATATATTTGATGTAGGGATTGGCTTATTTGTTACTTGGTCCTGCTTCGAAGCTGGTGCTGCCTGGGTTGTAGAAAATCTTGATGATATGCCACCAGCGTTGGTGGTTTGGTCACCAGCGGCAATTTTACTGGGCTGGCCAAAAAGTCCGGAGCTCGCGAACGGTGCTGGCGGCGTTCCTAAACGTCTATTAGCATCGAATAACCTAGAGCGGATGGGTTTATAAGTTACCTTTATCAAAGACGCCAGGCTGGTTGCCTGGTTGGGCACTCGGGAAAGGCCTAAATAAAGAGTCACGGGGTTGTGCACCATTCGCAGCCCCGGGACTCTGGTTAGGAGCAGTCATCGCTTCCTTCGGTTGGGAAGAAGGTGCAAACGGGATTGATTGTGGAAATGTTTGGTTGGGGGTACTAGTTCCTAGTTGGGAAGAGCTCGGTTGACCGAACGAAATTGTACGGTTTGTCGGTTTGAATGGTGAGTTCGTGGGAGCCGAGGGCACAGTTCGAGATTGTTGATTATCTTTCTGGACGCCAAAGCTTGAACCAAAATTGGATCCCCGGGACGATCCGAGATTCGCGCCAAACGTGGAGGAGAAAGTGGGTGGAGTTGATTGAGGTGTGGCTTGTGAAGATGGAAATAGGCTTTTAGAAGGTTGTCCAAATCCTTCAGGCGGCTGTGCTGTTATAGATGTTGATGTTGTACTAGCTGGTTGCTGTTTAGCACCGAAAGGAGACTATAAACCAAAGACCCTGTCAGTCTCCAAGCCCAATAAACAACCGAAGATCGAAGAAAGACAAATATAACCGAAAATCCAGTATCGTGACATATGGAAGGGAAGTATTACCGATGTTGTAGTTGCCATAAATGGCGATTGACCTTGAGGGGTGAAAGGTGAAGCGGTAGGGGACAGCTGTCCCGCCTTGGATAAAGACGTTTGCTGCACAGCTGGACTACTAGGCGAGAAAGGCTTCCCTGCGGCCCCTTGAAACAACTTGTTCGCGGCGAGGCCTGGGTCCTCAACGCTAGGGAATGAAAAAGTAGGCTTGAAGGTTCCGATGCCCGCCTTATCAGATTGCCCACTTTTTGTATCGCGCGTTTGGGCTTCGTTTTCATCGTCGCTCACAAATAACCCATCCCCCTCCACATTCTGTTTCGAATCCTGTTGAAATGCCGGGTCCGCTTGTAATAGAGACTGGTCGATCATCCCGTATCTGGCAGCTTGTAAGACATTCATGCCAAGAATAAGAGCGACCAGCGTCCTTCCACAACGCTTAGATTCGACGTGCTCGTACGAAAATGTTTGTTGTGAGGATGGTTGGAAGGCTATTAATTACCAATTAATTGATGGTTAAAAGTAAGTCAGAGTTTTATAGTCAAATAACGATCGGTGAAATCACGGAAGGGAACGGCTTGGCAGGGCGGCATAAAAGGGGGCTTGTTGGTTGGTAAAAACACGCACCGACAGAGTCAAGTGGAAAATGGCCCCAATTTAGATACATATGCCCATCAGAATTTGTAGCAAACTGGAGCCCTTGTTCCTCGCAAAATTCAATTGTTTGATCGTTGTCGTCAAATCCCAGTGCCCCAGTAAGCTCATCAACCGTCCATTCTTGGTTTTTATGTTGTTGTGAAAGAGGATGTCGACAATAGGCTTTCCATATTGATCGGATTGCCGTTTGTCGGACCTGGTTGAAGTAGATTTCCGCAATACACGCCAAGAGATAGGGGACGCTGTTAGACTGGATGAGACGGAAGAAACGCGCATAAAACCCCTGCGCAATGGCGTTTGTCCTTTTCGCATCCAAGGTACCTTGATACTCCCAAGTATTCCCGGCTGCAGCGAATAGCTCAAGTGCAACCTGAACACGAGGAGACTGTAGCAATTCCCGAGGCCATTTTTGTACTCGAGCTTCGAGGTCGGGCCGCTGGTCGTGGATGGAGAACACGATGTAATAGGCTCGGAATTCGTCCTCGTTTGGAAACTTGATCAAATCTCGGTTGTCGTCGTAGTAGTATAGGAGAGATAATAAGGTATTATTCAGTTGTTCCCGTTCCTGGTGATGATCAAAGGGTTCCGAGTTCTCAGGGCTGGACAGGAGATGGAGAGAAACGATGTGGAACCGTGCAATTCGTTCAAGGCACTTCACTGCAATTGCGACGTCCTGTGCTTGAGTAAGTTGTTGAATAGATAAATCATTGCGAATTGACCGTGTGCGATCCCAGAGAAATTTGTGAGTAAGAGCTAAAGTTTCATCATCCACTACAACATGTCGCAGAAGGTAGTTCATCGTTTGGAGAAGGGTCTTCGGAGTTCTGATATCTGAAGGTAGCTGCTCGTCATAGCCAGCAGCAGATCTTCTGAATCTTTTCAGCATTTTGGCCTCGACTGTATGGGATACCATGGACTCCGGGTCGGTAGACTGAAGCGAATAAGTCAGTGTCTGGCTAAAATCTTGATGGTAGAAGACGAATAAAATAAAAACCTTTTCACTCTTATCGACCATCTTTTGGACAATACGTTCCACTCGTTCGAATTCAGGACACATCTCTGTACAAGTGCCTGTCGGGGTAATCGCACTTGTCAATGACATAGGTTGATTTGGATCAGCCATTTGCCCGGTTTTTATGGCTTCTGTTCGTTGCCTAGCACGATCAAGTTTCAACTATAAATCCGATAGTCGGTTAGTCGTGGACACCCCTCAATTAGAGAAACCGCATCGTTTCGAGAAAATAGGAAGGAAGAAAACACCTGCTCATAGCGGCTATTATAGTCTTGCGGCATTCCGGATTTTGCGCTTCCGCCTGAAAGTTTGCCATTTCGTCGCCGCGGATCCCTGGAGTGGTCATTGAAAGACACATCCGTACCCGCAACCGCGCCAAAGGGAGAAGAAGGTCGCGATGATTGTCCACTTGAAGTTGCCGAACGCGAACCAAAAACCGGGGCCTTTACACCATTTTCTTGACTGCTCTTAGGTCGGGAGCCATTTTCGAGGTTCCCCCTTCCAACCCCTAAACCAATATAACTTAGCACTGAGCGCGAATTATCCAGCTTGTTGTAATCATTACCTCGAAATGGTCCTGGGGATGACCTGCTCGAGACACCATTTGGGCGTACAGTAGTACCAACTGAGATATCGCCCCGCCTCCCGCGGCCGCCTCGAGGCCCGCCGCGACTGGCGGCACGAGTTTTGGCACCTCGAGTACTATCATCAGTGCCAGGTGCGGGCCGCGATCCTGCAGTACTACCCCTCCATACGCGACCACGGGCAGATGACGGTCCAGAAGCCCCTCGTTTGAAACCAGCAGGGCCTGTCAGCGTCGGGGCCTTTGACGTAGCTGACATCCTGTTTGCCCTCGAGAAGGCAGAAATATCTGTTGTGTCATACGTTTAGATCATGCCATGAAAATAAAGAAAGAGGTATATAGGTAGGAGAGGGAATCGGTCCGTCGACGTTTTACACGGCGAATCAAAATCTCAGGTTGAATCGGTATATGAAATGAATCGTCCCGCGAATTGCCGGATCTCAAAACTCGGACTGAGATTTGTGTTTAAATATATGACGAAAGTAGACTGAACGATTTTAGACGTACGTATTCTTATCGGATAATTGTTGGCAAGGGTATTCCCAGGTAGGAACCGCTATTTGCACGAGTGCTGGTATCGAACCATTCCAGCCCCGATCAAAACCGCAACCTTCTCTTAACTCTGTTTTTCCAAGTAACCTCAAAACCTATATTTTCGGTGGTGGGAACCCTTAATACGACGGGCGATAGATAAGCGCTCAGCGGGAGACACTTGCCGCAGCGGGAACGGAGGGAGAAAAGCGGTGCAGGCTCCGTGGCAAGACCTCTCAACTACAAACATCGCAAAGAAAACAGAAGACTAGTTAGCTTATGAATCTATGGGAGCAAACACTATGATCAGAGCAATCGAACTTCCCCCGGGGGATCGGGCGCCGAAGGGAGGTGAAGATACAGGGCAGGGAGCGAGAGCAAGGGTAGGAGTCAAACGCGAGCGCCACAAAGGCGGCAATCCAGAGTAAGATACGTTAATACCTGTGGTGTGTAAAGGGTATGTCTAGTCAGTCGCTCAGAGGTGGTTTGCCGCAGGCACTCGATGATAAACCAAAAGAAGGCGGAGAGGGATAGTTCGAGGACTTTCAAGTTTCACGAGCCAAGGCAGACAGCGCGGGTGCTTGTAGATGACCCCGTTGCGGATTTGTAATTCAAGTTCCTTCCTTATAGCTAAGCGGTAATTAATAAGCTTGTTTGTTTGTTCTAGACTGGACAGCAGCCTCGACGAAGGCCCGTGAATGAAGACGCTATTGCGAGTCTTGAGATGAGTCGAGGCGTGAATACAAAATACGTGAAGCTTCCTGGCAGGCAACGCTAGGCTATTTTCGGAAATTATGGTTAACGCCGCGTTTGGCGCTTGCGGTTATAACGGCTAATTTCATTCTAGCAAAGTCATGTTTGCTTTAGAAGGAGACCTTTTCTTTTACGTCTAGAGACAAGGAGAAATCTGAAAAGTGCCTGCAATTAATCATGCCATCTCATACTATCTAGTAGGAAGGAAAGATCAACAAGTAAAAGCGTTTAACGAAAGGACGAACTAGTTCCTTAAGGTGAACCCCCCAAACTGAGCTGCGAAAAAAGTTCCAGACTTTTATTTTAGCAAGGCGCTGTTAATCAAGCCCAAGCCCCTACCAAACTCATGGCAGCCGCACCAAAGAACACAAGCAAACAAGCATAAATTCGCCTTTTACCCCGTAGTATGCGCCAGCTCTCATCGCTCAAGAAATCTTCAGCCAGCAACTCAACCAGTGAGGAGTAGACAAGCAGACCTGATGAGATAGCGTTCATGACGCCGACCATTATGAGGCCGACTTCTGAGTCTGGGTCGTAGAGGGTATGCGTTCCTAGGCCGATTGCTTGGCCGAGAGGTGTACTAACGAGGTATTAGCATGTGCGTTCCGACAGACAGTGGTACTTTTTGAGGTGAATGAGGTTTTTTTTCTTTTTCTTTTCTTTTCTTTTCTTTTTTTTTTGGGGGGGGGGTGTTTATAACTTACGTGCAGCCATATAATAGGGCCATAATCCATGGCTGGTAAGTTTTATCCTTCCAGTCTATCACTGCGATGCGCGAGCCTAGAGCGAGGCCCTCGAACGTTTCTGTAAGTTATCCCCGTCTCGTTAGTTTCGCTTTAATCTTCCGGCTGAGGAAAGTCCGGCTTTGATTGTAAGGGAAATTGAAATGCTGGGGCAGGACATACGATGAAAAGCGATAGCAATCAACAAAACCACAAATGAACTCCCCGTGGACACCGCCAACGCCAACCCGATAAAAATACTATGGAACAAAATCCCCATTTCCAATAACATGCACTGCATCACAGCCTTCTTACGCTGCTGCTCCGGCGTCAACTTGATCGATGAAAGCTCATCATCGCTCTCCGACTGGGGTTCATCAACATCGGCCTTGGTCTCCGCTGCCGACACCGCCGCCGATACTCGTGGTCCTTGTCCTCGACCTGGTGACTGCACCCGCTCCATCTCCACCAAATCTGCGTTAATATGCGCCAACTCGCGACCAAGACTACTCGAATTGCCAACAAGCGGCCGCTCGCGGCGCAGTGAGGCATCCGTCGTAATACTGGGCCGCGACTTCAGTCGATCGGAGTCGGGTGTCTTAGATGTCTCAAAATCATCTCCGCCGCCTCTGCTTCCACCCTGACCGCCACCACAACTACCACCACAACAATCATGCCCCTTCTTCTCCTGTCCTCTCATATAAACACTCCTATTCCCCCTATCACTACAACAATGCCTCCCAGGACTAAATATCATCTCCACAACCGTCACCGATAACACGGCCGCCAGCGCAATCGCACCAGGCATGGGCTGGTAATCTACCGTCCAGAAACGAGGGAGACACGGATCATTTAGCGAGCCGAAGGCGGTGGGCAAGAGATGCACAAAGGCCGTTGCGAGCAGGACTCCCGTGCCGAAGTGGCGGACGAGAAAGAGGAACCAGGCCGGGATGCGGAGGAAGGTGAATTTGACGGCCACAAGGGGGAATGAGCAGGCGAGGGTGGATACGGAGAGGATGATCATGAGGGCGCCGACATGGAGGGGGGTGTTGTATTCGCGGTCGGAAGCCGGATTGTTGGAGCAGGTTCCGCGCCGTTGTAATCGGGTCGTGGGCAGTTTGTGGGATAGGTTTGATTTTAAGGTTGCTGCTGTGAGATTGGTTAGCTCCTTGTTTCATGCAGATATATACATAGATATTCGGAGGAATGAGAGAAGAGTTCTAGGTCAACCGAGGGTGGTTTTTTAGAATAAATCAAGGATACCTAAACATACCATAAGCTAACAACGAGCCTCCAGCGGCATAAGATATATATGCAAACAATACAAATAACGCGATTCGCCAGATCCAAACTCGACGCTGGCAAGATCGCTGGTCTGTCCCAATTGCGGGAGGCCAAGCACGGGTGGCAGAGCAGGTGTCTGGAGTCATCGAAATAGTTGTTAGCATGAATATTTCTTTCTATCCTCAACTTATTCCCGAGAACAGCTTGTGCGTAATATAAATTATAAGCAAATACCTTCTTTGTTCAAAAAATGACAACCTGCATCTGCGCCCTTGCTGGCCAGAGGCGGACGGTAATTCTCAGGCGGTCTCTGAAGAAGACCATCCGAAGTCTGAGCAGAATCGCAGGACAGATGGGAATCCCGATTCCGGTATGCCCTGGAATTGACAATACCGTTGAGGTCCTCGCATGTAGTCAGGTCGGCTGTCAACAATGGTGGGCTTTGGTTCCAGTCTGGATGGTCGGGGCATTGATCGGTTCGGGACGGGCAGTTCATGATAGGCGGGTTTGAAGACAAGGTCCCTTTTTTTTTTTTTTTTTTTTTTTTTTTCCCGCCTATAGGGGTTTTGGGTTCGCTTGATTTATCAGAAATCCAATATCCGATGTATGTACTCCGTAGAGATATATCGAGATAGATATGCAACAAAATACGTTCAGGGATATGGCAAGAGATATAGGCACAACGTCGGGGTCAGAAAGTGAGAAAAAGAGTTCGGGATGACGAATCCGCTGAGTTTTCGATCCCCGCAGAAGCAAGCGTTCTATGGGCCGGCCTGTGGAATACCGCCAAGATACAAGTGCTGTTATTGACTTGTGAGGTGTTATTAACGTCAACGGTCAAGGAATACTAGCCTAGCCCTTTGAAGCCCGGTTTTAGGCGAGATCGCACCGTACACTGCGTTACAGGCGGGACGGCTTGGGTTAGACGAAAACTGGCATTGAATTCGGCGCTAGCAATTGTCTGATGGGAATTTTAATAATGTCGTAATATTTTGCGCAAGGTGAGAGGGGTACGACGAGATTTACTGTAACAGTGAAAGATGGGCGAAAGATGGATGAAAAATAAATCATTCCTCTAAGAGATAAATATAGTCTGGAAATGAGGAAACCTTTGAGATGTACTCTTCCTCAAAATTGGCCACATGCAGTGGCGCATTCATTATTATTTTAAATTAATTTATCTCATTCCTCCTCCCTTTCTCAAGGTTCCGAGTTCCCAGGGTTGGTGTTGTGCCTTGAAGAGTCTAGGCGTGGCCAATCGTCAAGACCAGCCAACCGGGCCGGTTTGCTCCATGCGGATCTTGGTTGAGCGGCGGGTAAATGGAGATTACAGCACCGTGATTGGCTAGATATGGTCTTGGCAGAGTAGTCTAAATTCTCAGATGAAGAAGCAGCGACGCCTTATAAGGCTTATAATAAGGAGAGTATCCTACAACCGATCGATAAGATATAATAAGAGTTTGTCGCCGTTTCTGCCAAATAATTCCTGATCTTATAGAAAGCCTAGTTTACTATCTTGCAAATAGAGATGTTTAGCAGACCAAATTTATAATTCATCAGTTCGGTTCGGCTTGGTTCTGGGCCCTCTTATAGGAATTATTACTGGATGTTCATTTTGACACTAGATAATGGAAAAACTTTCATCTCCAGCCAACCAAACAGCAAAATACGCTGCGTAACTTGCAAATTGTAATAAGCCAACTGATAAATCCTGTTGGGTTTCAATGAGAGTTAAGGAACTAAGAAACACTAACGCAACTTGGTTAGATCTCTGTCCCACAAACCACGAACCCCTCTTCAGACTATTATTAATATCTTATCAATCTCCACCACGAAGTTTCCACTGGTAGAGACTAGAAAATGAGCCCACCGAACCGAACCGAGCCGATATTTCTCCTAAACCTCCCAATGCATCCGAGGATAGCACATTGAATAGAGTGGCACATTTGTGTAAATTATGTTACGTGCAGCTAGCTGTCAGGAAAAAGAGGTTATACACTACTGAACGCCACCAACATCGTATTACTACAATATTTCTCATCATCATCAGCTTACTACAACGCTTGTCTAATACTTGCTTATGCTAGCTCTCTTGGCTCGCACATATATTTTACTATAAATAGCTCTATCTTTTGTATGAAATAGATATATTAGATAGTGTACGGATAATATAACAAGCAGATCTTGATACAAATAAGATTCATATGTCTCCAACATATTCATCCGTGACACCCAATCCGACATTGTATCAAGATCCATATGTCTCCAACATATTCATCCGTGACACCCAATCCGACACTAGCTCCCTTGCTCCGGAAGAGGAACGGATATTGTAACCTACCTAGTTTCCACCGGGAATCCTCAGGGAAAGTGGCCAGATAGTTTCTTTCTAAGGTTTTGTCTTCAAACATTATATATCAGCATCGATCTGTCCATCTGTAGCGGACTCACCTCGTACTTCTACAGTAACGTTACTGGAAAGTTATCAATGCAACAAAAATGCGTACAAAACCACTTTAACATCCTTGCAAGTAGACATCATCCCACGGCTGTCCTAGACTGAATCAATCACAATGGGAAGATGAGGCAAGAATGTTTGTTGTCAGAGCGAATGCAATTCAATGAACCATTTATTCCGCAAGACTTGGGAAGTCCATGCAAGAGGATGAGAGAGTAGATAGAGCTGGAAAGACAATTCGAATACTCGGTGGACATTGCCTCTCTCTGCTGAAATGTTGTATCTAGACTAACTTTGTTTGAGTACCACGAATTGACCTTCCATTAGAGCGCAGAAACATAAGGAGACCCTGGTGCCGGACGGCGTGCATGCTAACCCCCAGAAATGGCGGGGAAAGCTATCGAATGATGGCGGATCGTCGCGGCATGTTTCAGCCACACTTCTTCAGTCGCTTTGTTTTTCTTGGTAGGGTAGGTCACCGTAGGTGATTCATAGAAACGTCATTTGAAGGATAAATGAGTGAGCAACGCCGCGATTGGGACTCCACAATAATTCGCTCCCGAATTGGCCTGCGTATGACATCAATGCAGCAGACGTGTCTATCTACTCATAGCTCCGCATTTTTCACCATGCCGTGCCCCCTAATTTGACTTTAAAGAGCATTAACATTCTTAGCGTGTGAATAGACTTCTGTTCGGGTGCCTTCGTCCACAGCCCACAATGTAACTTGTATCTTTTGTATGGGCTCACCATATACATAGTAAAAAAATTAATATCTTCAACCCAACATCAGATATGAGAGATATCAGTGTATATTTTTGAGCAGAGAAATAGAGTAGTATCAAAGAATTTAAGTATATTAAACCTTTTTACTTTTAAATTAACGCTAATATAAAATAAGCAGAATAATTTACTTCTATTTAAAAAAAATTTATATAATCACATTCTTTGTATTAGAATATACTTGTATCTTTTTAATATTGTACATCTGATGTTGTGTTGCAGATATAGTATATTCTAAAAACATGAATTGACAGGTACCTTTTATATGAGATACGCATACAAAAGGTACCTATTGTGGTCATAGTGGGGGAAGCGTCGGCCCTTGACCACCTGGTTCCCTTTTTTCCTTTTGACAGAATGATCCGATCCTTAACAAACAACCCTGGTTTGAAGCATTTGGAGTTTGCGATGTCCGTTGGGGAAATTTTAGGTAGGAATGTTCAGAAAGAACCACGTCAAGTTATCAACACAATGTTTTTAATCGCCTATGACGCTAAGTTTGAAGGCTACCGCTTGCCGCGTCTAATGTCACCGCTTTCCATTCTCGGAATACTGCCGCTTTGGAGCGAACACACCATCAAACTTTTTTGTTTCTTCTCTTCTCTTTTTTTTCTTCTTCTCCCCCCTTTTCCGCCCCCTCCCCAAAGAGGGGCGAATTGCGAATTTAGGGCTCATTAATACCACTTCAACATCGCATCAAGATGAAGTACATTTTGGTTTCGGGAGGTATGTTTTGTACCTTGTGATTCCGTGTGTTTTTCGCCGGAGTGTCTGACGAAACCTCTCGCGTGCAGGTGTCATCTCTGGGGTTGGCAAGGGCATTATTGCCTCCAGCACTGGGCTACTCCTGAAGACTCGTGGTCTAAAAGTGACCAGCATTAAGATAGACCCATATATGAATGTTGATGCTGGGACTATGAGCCCTACAGAGTTGGTTCACCCTTCCAATTTGAACTCCTGGTTTCCCTCCCACCCGTAAAAGACCCAATAGAGGGACAACTAGAACTGACTGGGAACATAGGCATGGGGAAGTATACGTTTTAGATGATGGTGGGGAGGTTGATTTGGACCTGGGAAACTACGAGCGCTACCTGAATATTTCCCTGAGTCACGAGCATAATATAACCACTGGCAAGATCTACCTACACGTTATTGAGCGTGAACGCCGTGGCGACTATCTTGGCAAAACGGTACAAATTGTACCACATCTGACAGACGCAATCCAAGACTGGATTGAACGTGTGGCTAAAATTCCCGTTGATGAATCCGGGCAAGAGCCAGACGTTTGTATTGTCGAGGTTAGACCCCCCCTTAGGGACCCGGATATCTGGCCCCATTTTTCAAATTCTGAACTTTCTCTTTATCACAGCTCGGAGGCACAATCGGAGACGTGGAATCTGGTGTCTTTTTTGAAGCCATGCGCCAGCTACAGCGACGAGCCGGAAAGGGCAATTTTCTACAAATCCATGTTTCTTATGTCCCCGTAATTCCACCTGGTAGCGGCGAGCAGAAGACGAAACCAACCCAGCGGGCGATCAGCGATGTCCGGAGCGCAGGTCTTAGTCCAGACTTGGTATATCCTACATTTTGCTCCACCCTTCACATTTCCTGCCCTATTAGCTGATTGTTTTGAACCTTCTAGATTGCTTGTCGTTGCGAGAGACCTCTCGAAGATCAAACAATTGTCAAAATCGCCGGCGCCTGTCAGGTTGATCGTGACCAGGTTCTCACAGTACACAACGTCTCAACAACCTACCACGTTCCCGTTCTTCTTGAGAACCAGGGTGTCCTCTCGACCATTAACCGCGTCCTTCAGCTTGATACTGTCACTATACCTAAAAATCTTGTACAGCAGGGCAATGCTACATGGACTGCGTGGAAATCACTGGCGACAGCTCATGATCATACGCAGGAGACTGTGTCTATTGCTCTTGTTGGCAAATATACAGCCCTTCACGACTCCTACATGAGTGTAAGCAAGTCGCTGGAACATGCGGCTATGCATTGTAAACGGAAAATTGACCTTATCTGGGTTGATGCCTCTCACTTGGAAGAGACGACTCAAGAGATCTCCCCCGCAGAATTCCATAAAGCATGGCATGCTGTCTGCATGGCAGACGGAATTCTCGTCCCTGGAGGTTTCGGCTACCGGGGAACGGAAGGAATGATCAAAGCTGCCAAGTGGGCCCGTACCAACAACGTCCCCTACCTAGGCATTTGCCTAGGAATGCAGCTTGCTGTCATCGAATATGCACGCAACGTCTGCGGTATAGATGCTCATAGTGAGGAATTTGACGAGCACCATTCAACCCCGGCAATTGTCTACATGCCTGAAATCAACAAGGAGAAGATGGGCGGGACGATGCGATTGGGCAAACGACCCACCATCTTCCAGCCTGACACGGAATGGTCTCGTCTGCGCAAGCTATACGGAGACGCACCTGCCATCTGGGAGCGGCATCGTCATCGCTACGAAGTCAATCCAGAGATGGTGGAGCAGCTGGAGAAGGCCGGGTTGGCATTTGTAGGCAGGGACGAGAAAGGTGAGCGGATGGAAATCATCGAGCTCAAAGACCACAAGTGGTATGTTGGCGTGCAGTTTCACCCAGAGTATCTTTCTCGAGTGCTTGCGCCCAGCAAGACGTTCCTTGGCTTCTTTGCTGCCGCCTCAGGCTGCCTTGAAGAGATCACCGACTCGTTCAAGGACCGCCATGACCTTAGCCGCCAGGAAATGGATCCTGCCTTGATTCCAGCGCGATAGGTGAATTCGGAAAGAGGAATGAATGGGTGGAAGCAGTAAAAAAAATGAAACATATGCTTTTGGATTGCTTGGGGCGCAAGTTGGCGAGAGGCCATCTTATTGTTCTCTGTATTTTGCTCGAATTGCAACTTGCAAAGCGTCATGAAGATCGAACTCGCCCATGTTAAGTGGATGCAATATTAAACATAGAAATATTTTCACACGTATATAACCCACCTAGGCCTGGGCATGTTGCGAATGAAATGGAATGTGGATTTGATTAATTTCTTCCCCCTAAACTCGTGACATGGTGATTATTCTTTTGACATTTTGATCAACATCACTCTCGCCAGGAATATACATGTATCGTATCTACCACCAAAAGACCCTTCATGAGTATTGAATGTCTGGTATTATTTTTATTTGAATAACTAAGCTAAGTGGGCCTGAAGGTGTCTTCGATCTGGTAGGCCATTATTTGTGTGTAGAAAAGGGGCATCAAATAGGGATAAGTTATATTATTGCATTTGGGGTTCAGGACCCAAAAAATAGGGTGGGGAAGGAAAAAAAGAAAAAAAAGAAAAAGAAAAACACAGTACAGGTAAAAAGGGCGATAAAGAGCTTTGGGGATGTTTTAGGGACAATTCACGGGAACAACTGGTGGACCGAAGATAAAAGAGAAACGACCAAGAGAAACGCTTTACGACTTCAGCTTTTGCGAAGGGTGGGGGAAGGGGGGGAAAGAGTAACTGCTGGTAACCGAAGGCTTGATGGAGGGTAAATTTCACGAAAGGACAAGTAGACCGGAATAAGAACAATAACAAAACCGAAAAGAGTAGCAAAAACCTAAGAAGAGAACTGGTCAAATTGGAACATGTGTTCCTTGCGTGTTGAACTTTTTGCTTGCTTTCCTGTGAGGCCATAGTTCAAACTGATGATATATCCGGCGCTGGAATATAAGTGTACCACAGCCACGGACGGTTAGATGAAAATCCGGTGATCTGGCTAGTGGTGGTTGGAGCGGTTGTCTTGGGAAACGAAACCGGGGGGTGGGGTGGTTGGGTTGTTGATTAAGGGAATTATGTACGAAAAGATGTGCCAAACAATAGGAAACTGTACCCATAACGCCAAAATGAAAAGAAAAACCGGACCTTGTTTGCCATTTTTTGGCATCGTTTTTCTCGCTTGAAAGCTAAAGCAGATGGCCGCCCAAAATCTGTTCCGTATAAGACTACTAACCGACCCAGAAAGAGTGAGGACAAAAAAAAAGATCGCTAGCTCCAAAAGGATAATTCGAAGTTTCCCCCCTGGATGGCGACAGATCAGATCAATTCAAAGGAGAAGGGAGCTATTTTATATTCTTCCCTTGTTCCGCCATCAGGCGGGTCGGGACCATCCTCACATAATAATGATTTAGGAATCTGTGCGGAACGATGGGTGAAATATAGGGCTACCACCCATCTGTTGTTGCGAACGTGTTTCCTGGAGGTCACGGATAGGAAGAGAAGCATGGGATGAAGGCATCATGGGCGACATGAATTGTTGTGGAATCATCCCTGCATTGCTGCTTGCATATTCAACTTGGATAAAGCCTGGGTGTTGAAAAGATGCCACTGGTGCCACTGGCCAAGCACCATAATTTCCCGCGGCCTGATTTCCTGTAACGGAGCCTCTTGGATTCATATATTGACCATCGACTGGGGATTGAGGCAATCCTTGAAAATAGTTGACATTAGATAGAGTTGCCCTCGTATCAATTGAGGCGGGACTTCCCATAGGGGTGAATTCCTCGTAGTCGGGTTTGATTCCCAGAGGTGAGAGAGAATTCGGTGTTCCAGCTTCAAAAGGCCCTGATATCGACGACGAGAAGATGGTATTCCTGGTTTCTGCGAAGGTGGGAACAACACGGTTATGCATCGGTAGAGTTTGGGGTGGCATTTGTAAGTTATTTTGCGGCCTACTTGAACCCGCCACTTCTGATACATGTCCCCCGCGAGAATCACTGGTCTCGTCGATGTAGCCAGGTTGCTCGGAGTCCGATGCAGTTTCTGGCTCCTCCCTAACGCAGCGATTCGTCTTTTCTCGTTTAACAACATAAATCAATGTATCGGCGTCTGACAAATGGATGGCCCATTAGATCATAGAAATTGGAAAAGGGGAGAATGATGAAGCACTTCACGAACCAATTTCTCCCCGCTCATAACGCTCCTCCTCCTCCCTTACTCGGTATATTTCATCCAGAACAGATGCTTTTTCGGTGGGCCTACATTGTTTCTGTGCTTCCTCACCAGCCGCTTTGAGTTTCCTGGCTGTAATACCATGGGATTTCCTCAAATTTCGAAATATATGAATAAGGAGTTTCACCCGGGCTGTGTATTTATAAGCTTCTGGAGGTTTAGAGGAATAAACTGGTTGGGGATCAGGAAAGAGCGGCTTACGTATTTTCCTCAGATGGTCAGGTTCTTTATGAATCACGTCAGCAGGCCACCACTCTGGCTTAGTTTTCTCGGGATCTCTAGTCTCTCCGGGTGCTGCTTTTCCTCCGTTATACGGATGCTTTGCCTGCTTCCGGGGCTCAATGAGCTTGATATAAGCCTTTGCGACCTGGCGACAGTTAATCTGCTGAAAGGCTCTGAAGGCTTCTGCGTAATAAGCCATCATTCTTTCCTCATCACCGATAGGCAAACCAATCTTGTTCACAGGATGGTCTTCAAATTCGTCGTCGTCTTCCTCCTCAGAGGCTCCATTAACCGTATACGCCAATCGCTGGCGCTTCTGCGCAGGCATATCTCTGAGGGAAGACAGATATCGGGGTCGTCTGGCTTTTGAACTGGACGCCGGGTTTATATTTGACTGGCCTGCATTCCACCTTAACAATTGATTTTCACGAAAATCTATCAGGTATACAAACCTGGAAATATCGCCTGGGAGGCGCGCTGTATGAACCCGTTTTCAAAGTCCGGAAGAAATATTTCACTCTTGTGGTGGTGCATAGACGGAGATAATTCACACCGGACATTCCCAGACGGATCAAGATATGCCAGGGCATAATGTCGGTATGGAATGTGGATTGCTGAACGGGATTCAACTGTGAACACATCCTTAGTCATGTTAGCTCCTCGGTAATATTGTGGATGGAGGCAGCATGGCATATCTACATACGGGTGGGGACTCCCAAGATTGAGTTCCCTCCATCGATTCACCGTTGCCAGATTTCATTTGAGAGTCTGAAGCGGTGGGCGTGGGTCTGACAACCATAGTGCTGAAGCAGGCCTTCCAATATTTTATTCGACAATCGGTTAGGGTTTAGGCACGTAGCACATATAACGTATGTACTGATTTCCCTTAGCTGTCCCAAGCCAAAGACGAGATATACGATGATCGGTCCCAAGGCGATCCGTAATAGACAGCACAGGGATCCCCAGAGTGATGAAGTGAGGGGCAAACAGGAAGAACAGAATTTACTAGAACCAAGAGATATGACGGATGAACAATGGATAATCGACACGACCTCCCAATACACCATGAAAAACAAAGTCGATTATTAGGAGCGTAATGTACTGACAGGATCCCCCAGTTCCGAGATATCTGGACGCAGAGTGAGTTCGTTCTTTCTTGGCTGAAAATGGGAGTAGATGTCGACTCGATGTTAGGTAGAACGTTTCGTCAGGATAACGATGCCAGCGATATTTGGCATGCTATTGTAGAAAAGTGATGAAATCAGATGTTGGAGGACGGGGAATGAGGCAGATAAATACGTCGAGGGCATGTCCGTGCAGTAAGTTCATTTGCCAGCTGGAGCGAGAGGTACATGAGGACCTTGATCTGCTAGCAAGACAGTGGCGGCCGTTCAAAACAAGTAGTGATGTCCAAGAAACACAAGCGACACGGCTCCACGGGGGGCTACTTCATCTTCCCCGGCTCTACTACCCCTCCAACTGCAGTGTGATCCGGCAGTTCCACTTGATTATTGTTGGAGGCTAAACTCCTTGGGTAGCTTCTCATTGATAGAGTGGGATCCACCGACCAGTGCTCGAACTAAATGGGGGGCGATCAGGGTGTTCGGGGAGCAAGAATGATTCGTAGCACCCGCCAAGAGACCGACAATGAATGCAGAGGGACCGTGCGGGAGCTTCAAGAGTAGTCTCGAGAGTTGTCGCAGGTGTTGGAAGGGAACTGGTCCTTCCCTGGAAAATACGGAGGCTCCACGGTCATGGCGAGATTTAACACAAGAGTTTGGGGGAAACGCCACCGTCAGCGTGGCATCTCGTTCAATAAGAAAAAGGAGGGTACATTTAGCTGATTCTCGAATCAAAATTAAATGCCGTCCTTTTTCTTTCAAGCAGAGGTACATGTACAGTACATGGTTGTCCTCCGCCATTTGATCTCCTGTTTCCTATTTCCTCTAGGGACTTCAACGCTCCCAAAAGGTTGTAAACCCATCATTGAATAGTGATCCCGAAGGCCTAGTTCAATAGAGCGCGCTCTTCAAGTTGGGCTGCCCAATGTCTGTACAGAACTGAAGAACACGAGCCCAGTAAGCATCATTACATGGATCCGTAGAATCCGTCACGGATCCAGATCGAAGTTGCTCAAGCCTCAGGGCAAGGGATATCTAGATCCTTGGTCCAACCGCTGTATCCGCCTCCAATTATGAAGGTTATTTCGGGGCCCCTTGTCGGGTTGTCCCGCCTCCAGAGTTCCACTTTGGCTGGGGCCTTGGAGAGATTTTGGCACATTATTGGGACATCCAGACAAAATCTGCAAGGTTCGATCGCGGGATCGGGGGTTGTGGGGCCGGTTTGGAGTCGAGACTAAAATCAGTTGAGTGCACAAATTAACCAAGACCAGGTTCTGTTCGCTCTGACCCCCTGAAAACTTGGCGACCTCAAAGGCTCCAAAGGGCAGCAACCTGGGAACGCAGCAATAATGATCGCAAACGGGGCAGCGCCAACAGGAAGCCCAGGTTACGGCCCGCTTGAAATTCCTCTGTTCGACCTCTGCGCATCTTCAGATGCATTTCGCAAACGCATCTCTCGTTTGCGTGCCGTAGTAAGTAACGGGGGATGCATCAAATTCACCCGATGGACAGCAGCCTTAAGTCCGGGTTATTGAGGCTTTCTCGTCCTGGCGTGCCTAGGCGGCGTGGGTCATCTCTGGTGACAGAATAGCTCAAGCCTGAATGCTTCCCCTGCCGAATATCAATCAGGCAGATACCGGTCTGACGCCGCTTCCCGACAATCCGGGTCAATGATAGTCTGTCATGGAGCGTTTGGAATCACACCTGGATAGCGTATGGGCTAGGTTGATTGAGAGAGCCGGCCGTCTCCGTGACACAACCAGCAGATGGAGGACATATTGGTATCTCGGGTGGCAAAGTAAACATTATTATTACTGTTCTCGCACGCTGCATGAGACTGTCTGATTCGGTGTTTAAAGTATGCCGGAAATCCTGCGATGTCCAACCCTGGCTGTTTTCAACAACTACATATTTGAGGCTGAGGTTGGGCGGGACTCGGGAGATTTCCTAATCTGGACACTTGGAGTAGTATTTTTCGCCAACATCCAGCCATTCCGCAACAACGTCAGCGGTTTATGTAGACCAACTGCGGAGTAGCGCTATTCATGCTATGGACAGAATATTATTCTTCTACGGAATTAGGGTATTAACGCATCTCAGACTATTATTATTGCTATCAGGGGAATGGAATGGTTTCTCTCCGCCAATCCGCGGGAATAACCATGACTCTCGTCACCAGCACGTCAAGAAGCGCCTCAGTCAAGCCTGGAAATCCGACCTATTCTTGAGGGCAAAGCAGACTCGAATCGGAGCCTAGCAAATGCAGATCTTGGAGCATTTTGGCTAAGACCTTGGAGTGAGTGACCTTCTGCATTCCCCAACATTTCCGTTCATTTCTCTTCTCGCCCCTTGAATCGACTGTGGCGTGCAGGGTAGGCACTTTGCACTTGTCCTAGTCTTCCTGGGATCGAGAAGCTTCCCAAGGTAGTTGACACCTTCGTTCCAAGAGTCAATTAACTATGAATGAAGCATCCCTAGGCTCGCCACAAGGATGCCAGTTGCGGGCTTGTGAAATGGCATGGACTCTTGATTCCCAGCCTGATGGTGGAGTTCAAACGAGATAGCAGCATTGCATCAGATGACATCTTATCTTGCATCGTGCAAACCCCCTGATCTTGCGGAGCCTAGGAGAGGAGTGCGGATCGAAGCCCTCGAAAGTGTGTAGGCCGGTTCACCCCCCTCTACAAGGCATCCGCGCGAACAACGCTTCACTTCCCAGGCCACTGCACCGCCTCGAATCGAATCCTATTAACTGTCAAGATTCCGGCTTATCGCTTACGTTATTTATATATCATTTGATCTTTTCTCCTATAAGGTAAATCAATATAATGTTGCAGACTGAATCGTCATGCGAGGAATTTGCCGCACCGAAATTGAAATGTGAGGCCGTCCAATGAACTGGAGTTGAAGCTCTGGTATACCGCGGGGCGACTCCACATGCAGAGTCTGACACAGGATTCGTGAGACAGATAGCTGCACCATATACGTTCGATGGTTCGTCCTTTAGGTGGGGTTAGTGCTGTTTTTCTTCGGAGATGCAATGGATGGAGTCGAAGAATTGTTGCCGTAGTCCACCTGCGTTCCGAGTAAGGTTGGCAGCAGGTCACCCGGATGGAGAGATAGTTTACATGCGAAGTTACTGGTGAAATAATGCTGTCTAAGGGGTTTTAAAACAACCATTGTCCAGACTTTCGTGTAGCTACTTCTTTTGCAGTGCAGATGGGATGGATTAAGGTTTCCAAAATGTGAAAACTTGGATATTAGACAGCGAGAAATTTCGGAAGGCTGTCCTACTCTATTTCCTAAGCATCCATCCCCGCAACATCTTGTCTGCCGACATCCAGGCTGAAGATCCATGAAGATCAATGGACCACCACCATGTGGTTCTAGTGCACTTACTGGCCAAAAGCACCGCAGCGGAATCCACAACCCCCTTTGAAGAACCCGATTTACTTAGGAGAATCATAAGCGGCTGGACATGGTTCTACTACGAGCTTGGAAAACATTTATTTAACAACAGCCAGCTCATTTGCGCCCGGCTTACTTTATCAAGAGGTATCTAGAGATATTGAAAAATGGAGGTATCAAACATGCGACCTACTGAACAACATTGCGCTTGTGAGGGTCTAGGTGCCCTCAGGAATATTTCTTTTTCCAAAATCTTACGTCCACACATTGATCGGCACGCCAGCAAGGATCGAGATGCATTCTGGCTCGCAGTCAGTAACTATGCCATGCAAACTTAATTCCACTCGCAGTGAGTGCGGGTAATTTAAGTCACAGAACTCAAAGCCCCGAGCCATCGCGGATGGCATACTTACTCTGATAGGAGCAATGAACAGACTACTTATCACGAGTATGCTCAATATTAATATCTGTCGATTATTTCTACATGATTGTCTTCGGATTCAAGGTGAGGTTTGTGCGATTCCTTGTGGCAAGCATTTGTTCTATTATTCTCTACGAGTACCGTGCGATCATCCCCAAAATCTCAAGGCAACCTTCCAAGGTTTGAGGCATAGTTATGCAAATCGGCGCCAACCTAATCCTTATTTGCTCTTGAGGTAATCTAATCGGAAGGTCTCTTGGATCGATCAGATGGCGATTTGCGGCGGTAATGCCAATAATGCTGATAATTCGATCAACAATCTTAAGTGGGTGGGTGTCAGAGAATGCAGGCAATATAATCTTGCTAGATGTCGAGTTGAAATATTCAAGTTCTACCCTACCATCAGTTGACAAAACCGGATAGCCGCTCAACACGGCAAATCAATAATAGATGTTGCTGGTTGGACCATTCTGTTTATTTCTTTTTTTATACTAGAATTTTTTCTTCATACATTGCATCGCCAGTTCTTCTGGGCTACTGAGAACAGATAAGGTGCAGAAATAAGAGTTTGGGATTTTTACTGGCCAGGCTGTCGGCGTTTCTGGTCTCTCCTTCGCACATTTTATTAATTTCGGTTTGGGTCGGCATATTGTTGTTTTCTTTTGCATCAGTGGCAACGCGCTTTCAAGAAAAAAGAGCATTCTGGCTTGTTGACCTAAGGATATTTTATATTTCCAAGGACGGTGTGGAGTTAAACTTGTTCCCAATGGCCTTTGCCCGAGGTGCTCAAGGCACTGTTGATGTTGGACAACACATAACTAGACAAAAGTCCGGGACGACGCTTTACTCTAGCACATTGCTAGGTCTTGACAAACCCGCTTTGAAGAAGGAAGCGCATTCTCAACCCCTTCGCCATGTTAAACGAGCGGCCGAACTACATGCACCTTCGAGGCAGCGATTTTACGATGAAAGAACCCGAGCGGGCACCATTCGCGGTAAGCGGGCTCATACCATTCTTGGTTCAAAGTGTTCAGGCCACCGCTACTTCCAAATATCTCCTCGCTATACTGAAGGTAGCGCAGTTTGTCCAGTCTCTCGCAAGATACACGTGGATATATTTAACACGCTCTCTCCGGAATGTTCTTCCGTATATAGATTCCACAGGAGATTTGTAGGAGCCACGGAGAGTAACTGCTCCAACAGGGTTGTATTTCCGCGAGCATCCCTCGAAACATACCTGACAAGGTGGAAGGCAGAGAGTATCGATCCGCGAGCCGCAACCTCGCTAGCATTTCTCCAACCATTATTCAACGTGACATGTTGTCACTGGGTTGACCGCTCGCAGGGCCAGAAATCACATAATCAGCAACAAGATTCCGGGGATTATTCCGAACAATTACTGACGTCGGCGTGCCATGTCTGCCGCCTTGCCGTCCTGGCAACTTGGTGCTGTACGATGGTAGGAAAACCCACAATTTGGTGGAACAAGGTGAAAATTATGCATTGTTATTGTTTCTCGTTGCTCTGTTTGGATGATGATCGTATTGGTGGGATACGATGCGCACGGATGGGGAGGTGGCCTTGCCAATTGAATCGATTAAACGCTGTGACAAAGCTGCATTCCACAAACGAGGGTTATTGAACTGCTAAATAGGAACTCGTATTGATATGAGAAGCGAGAAGCTCAATCTCACGGGATGCTCTTGGCGGCTGAGCTAACTTGAAGATCTTGAACGCAAGCCTTGGGAGTGTACGGAGTACTCACTCTTCTTCAACTCGAGGTTAGCAATAAATATCACGCATGGCTAACTCCCAAATACGCAGTACTGTACCAAGGTGTTGTCGAATTCTCCCTGGTGACAGCGTGTGAAAACCCAAAAATTGTGCTTGAAAACTCCATGCCTGCTTCTTCTTACGGGAGTTTTCAAACATTGTCCCGTTTTGATTCTCAGCCATGAATTTCTAAAATAACTAGGACAACGCCTTTCAACGCCTCTCAACGCCCCAGAACGTCCCCACCCAGCGAACTGAGATTTTAACACTTGTGCACGGTCACTTAGCCAACTGATGTCAAGCCTATTAAACATTGTGAAGAGAACGCTATACAGCAGCACCTCCAATCCTCCCGGCACTCCTTTAGACCTAGGCAGAAGAATAGCAAACTGAGAGCAGAAGATCCCTCCCGCTGGCCAAAGAAAGGGTTGACCCATCTTCCTAACCCATGACAAGCCACAGCAGCCAGCTGTTTGCACAGAAAAATCCCTCCAGCCGGGTCCCTGTTCCTGATCCCGTCTAGATTAAGGGATCGCATATAATACCAACACTAACTCGCATGACAAGCGAAAACGGCCAGGGTGGTTACACCTATCTCGCTCATCTTGTTGGGCCTGGAATTCTTTTAGCAGGGGTCTTCTACAGGGAAGACGGGAGGTTCTGGGTCAGCGACAGTGCTTTGCGTGGTTCTAGTGTGACCGCCTATCTATCGCCTGTGAGCCATTTTTGCACTTTAACTAGAAGACCGGGTGCTAAGCGTAGCCTATCGCCAGCCATCGGGGAAATGTTGTAGGGCCGTCTCTGGGCGGATAATGTTGGGGGTCCCGGGGGTTGATCGGCCCTTCTACCAGCAGCGCTGGTGGTGACTGAGCTCTTTTGCCCCAGTAGCCTACAGATAACCCCTAACCACCCACATAGCGGACCGCCACTCACAGTGATAATCTACAACCCCTTCTTGAGACAGTGAGGTGAGGTCGCTAAGCCACCGAACCGAGTCTCCAAGCTCAGGTCTCGGGCCCACCCCGGCCGCGGAACGCCTCATGATTTGCCGAAGAAGCTTGGGGATAAAACTCCGTGCCGCGCCTAGTGGTAAGGAATCACTCCCTTGACTGCATGTCACTTACAGCTGATGAATGGATGGATGCTGTGACGGAGCCAGCTTTCAGCTTACATGGTACTCTGTCGAATGGAATTCGACGAGGATTGGGTGGGAACAATAATGGAGAACGAACAGGCCGCTCGAATTCAAATTTTTTATGCACGCCATCAACACTTTAAGACACAAGCCGCGTCATCGCCTGATACATCCTCATACTGTACGGAGTACCTCTGACATCTAATAATCTGTCAGCAGGACGGAGTACTGTAGTTGAAAATGGGGGAATGCGTTTCAGGCGTGAATATGCCATACATTTAAATCTATGTGCCCCAACCAGCTTCGACTATCGAGCCGGAACGGAAGGGGGAAGCAAGCAAGAAGCTTGGTTAAGGAGCGGGTTCTGGGGCCCCACGCAATTTATTCTTCGGTCTGAATGTTCTCGGCCATTATCTACGCGGTACGGAGTACGGCGGGCAAAGTTGAGCAGGATCAAGGTAATTTACATACTCTGTAGTAGAGGAACTCTGTGGACAGAACGGACCTGAGATGGGATGGAGGGGAAACAGCAGGGGCCAAAAAAAAAAAAAAAAAAAAAAAAAAGGCAAAGTGCAGGAGAAAAGCAAAGCAAACAACCCCGTCAATAGTGTACCCCAGTGTAGAAATTGGCTCTTTAGATGTCTGCTTTTGTTCCTTTCCTTGCACTTGGGCTTCTTCGAGCATACCGACAGCCCGGCCAATCCGGCTTCCCCGGCGCGCTAGGAATGGAAATCGATTCCAAAAGAAAAGAAAAAAGAAAGAAAATTGGCGGGGAAAGAAAAGCAGCCCATAGACGGTTGTGAATAGAAGAAAATACAGAGTACTACGCCCCAGAACCTCAACAAAAACCTCCAATCAAGATACGGGGGTTAGAAGAGAAAACAAAAATATTGAACATTGTGGCGGATTATATGTACATATACAAGATTTCTTCTTCGCCTTCCTCTCGCTCCTTTTCCATCGCTGTACAACCCCATCCACACGCACAGCCGACTGGGGAGTGGGGACTCAAAAGGAGAACATAATCCAAGAAAAAGAAAAAAAAATGCCGGAAATAGACGGACAACCCCTGTTCCCTTCCTTGTTTATGAAGTAAGCGTGGACGTCGTCGTCGTACTTGTGTTAGTATCATTGCTGGCACTGCCGCTAGATTCAAGGAGTCCAGCCTCCTTCACAAGCTCGTAAAACTGGCCGCCGCGCTGAATAAGCGCGGCTGGGGTATCGAATTCAGCAACAGTTCCATGATCCAAAACGACGATCCGATCGCTATCCAAGATAGTGTTGATACGGTGCGCGATGGTGATGATAGTGCGGTCGCGGAAAATGCTGCTCCGGAGCATCTGCTGCAGCAGTGCGTCTGTTTCTACGTCGACGGCGGCCTGTGGAAAAGAACAATGAGGAATCAAAATCACAAAGCTGGCTAGACAAAAAAAGAAAAAAATGGAAGAAAAAAAAGATAATCACAATGCGCTAACTAGCGTTTTTGCTGGGGTAAAGAAAATGGTGGCTTACAGTGGCTTCGTCGAGCACCAAGATGTTGCTTGGCGTTAGGAGGGCTCGGGCTAGTGAAATAAGCTGTCGCTGGCCTTGGCTAAGATTCGAACCTAAAAATGCAAACACATCAGTGCGAAAATTAAAACGATAAATATCTACCTGATTGGCTGTCTTGGAAGTGATTGTATGGAAACTGACCTCCTTCGTGGATTTGTGCATCAAGTTGTCCAGGCAAACTGGAAATGTGGTCCTTTAATCGTGCATGTCCTGATCGACAGTGGTCAGCGGGGAACTACGGATTGGGCAGCTAAGGCTGAAAGAGGGCTCACCAAGGACACTCCACAACTCGGTGTCATCATGGGCGTGGCGTGGGTCGAGGTTGTCTCGGACGGTACCTTCGAACAATGCCGCGTCCTGCGGGATGATTGCCAAGCGACCCCGCAAATCGAAGAGGCCAATAGAACTGATGTCCAAACCGTCGATACTGTCACAGAGGAAGTCAGCAAACAAAGGTCCCGGCAATTTGACCACCTTCATCTCGAAAAGCCTTTACCTTATACTTCCTGATGTCCCCTCAATGATACGGAACAGTGCCAAAGTCAGTGAACTTTTACCTGCTCCTGTCCGACCAACGACGCCGATCTTTTCGTGTGGCTTAATGTGAAGATTTATGTTTTTCAATACAAGGTCTAGGCCCTCACGATATCGTGTGCTGTAGTCCTTGAATTGTACACCACCTTGGGACGGCCAACTGATCTGGGGCCGCTTCTTGAAAATGACGTCAGGAGCTTCGCTGGGCAGGTTTGCATACTCCAGAACTCTCTCGACCGACACGATATTCGTTTCCACCTCGACCGTTTGTCGCACAATCCAATTAAGAGACTGGGTGATTTGGAGCGCGTATGACATCGATAGGCCAACCATTCCAGCAGATAATTTGCTCCCAGTCGCCACAGACAGAATCGGGAACGAGGCTGCTGCCAGGATAATCACGGAGCCAATGAACTCTAGGCGTACAGCGAGCCACCTGTTTGCACTGATGGAAGGGTAGTATGCTCGAAGGTTCGCATCCATCCGATACTCATTCTCCTTTGAGAACCTATCCTGTTGCCTATAAGCCCGAATGGTCGAGATACCGCCGAGAGTTTCTTGGAAGTGAGCGAAGATAGGGCTTTTGCTGACGCTATCCAATCTCTTAAGTTCGCGTGACGTTCTCAAGTAATACTTTTGGAATCCGAAATAAACTGCTCCGAGAGGAATAATCATAACGAGGAATAGTGGAGTCGAAACACTGATAACCATCATTGTAAATCCTGCTCTAGCAGCATTGACAAATAACTGTTTTCCCCAGATTAGTATTAAGTTTTTACCCGGAGAGATTGTCAGGATATCTTACCATATTGAATGTGCGGGAGAGAACTTCATCAACTCGATATATATCGCTATATTACACTTCGTTAGCAACGAACACAACTGAACTTGCATGACTAGGATAAAGAGAAGGACTAACCTTGAGAAGCGATTAAGAATTCTACCAGAAGGTGTAGTTTCAAAAAAGTTCATGGGAGACCTAAAAATAGCGTATGCCATTCTCTCGTGCAATTTACGCGATGCCTTGATAATGTAGTTAGCGAAATAGTCCACGACGATAGCTATAAGAGTACAAATGACTGAGAAGCATACCTCAATAGAGCAAAATATCCAAAGAATCAGGGTTTGCAGGACAACAAGAGCAGAAGATCCAAATCCAAACGCAAAATAAATGCCAATATATTTTCCAACCTGTGGATTCATTCCAGATTTTTTGTTTACATCCGACCATCGCTCTAGCCAGAAACTACCAGCAACCTGCGCCGTTTGTGCCAATAGAAGTGCCGTCAAATAACTAGCCACCGCGTAGAGATTGCTCGTCTTCGCATACTCGCCATAGACGCTCCATTTGACCTTTCCTTGCTGGGAGGTTTCCTTCGCCTGCTTGGATTTGAGAGCGCCTTCTTCGTCCACGAGTTTGCGTGGGCCTTGCCAGCTTGCCGTGCTAGCACGTCGTAGAGTTGCAGTGCTTGTGCGTCGCATGGCACCACCATTCTGAACAGGTGCAAGAGGTCCCAGTCGCTCCTGAGCCTCTTCTATTTCGGAGAGATCAGAGTCACCTACATCGTCAACGATTGCTAATGTCTCTGGGCTGTTCACGCTTTCTTCTTCCCTAGTGCTGTCGTTTGAACCAGAATCGTCGTCGGTAGTAGTGGAGCGGATAAGAGTGGCAGTTTCACCTTTCATGGCAAGGAGTTGCTCGTATGTTCCCTTTTCAATAATAGTCCCGTTGCGTAGTAATGCGATGAAGTCCGCTTCTTTTAGCACAGTGATCGCATTAGTTGCGAGGATCCTCGTTTTTCCAGCCAGTACACCATTCCGGCCAAGGACTCGGTTAATAATATGTCTCCCGACATGTTGATCCACTGCGGACAAGCAATCGTCCAAAAGGTATACGTCAGCACGGGCATACACGGCCCTTGCCAGCGTTAAACGGGCCTTTTGGCCGCCGGAAAGAGAAATACCACGTTCACCAACCTCTGTCTGGTCGCCATCCGGAAGGGTCTTGAAGTCGTCGAGCAGGGCGCAAGCTTCTACAGTAGTCTCGTAGAAATGAGGATCCCAGCGATGACCGAAGACGATGTTTTCCCTGACACTAGCATTCATAACCCAAGCTTGTTGTGCGACATACGCAGTGCGACCTCGGACAACCACTTCCCCATTAATCTTCCACAGGTCTCCTAACATAGCTTGAAGGAACGATGACTTTCCAGCGCCCACACGGCCGACTATACAACTCAGCTCCCCTTTCCTAGCACTGAATTCAATATTCTCCAGCGCGTTTCGACCTTCATGTTTGTTCCATGTAAAAGACGCATCTCGAATTCGTACGGACTCATCCCCGTCGTGAGAAACAGCCTCCTCAAATGTAACTGCATCTTTCTGCAATTCCTCACCAGTGAAATAAGTCGTAAGACGAGATACTGCGACTGAAGCTTCAATAATGGACGTGATGACCATTGGGAGAATAGACAGAGGAAATGTTAGGAGATTGAACAAGGTTAATGCCGGGAAGACTATCTCTGTAGTCAAGGGCCTATCGTTCGTCAAAACAAATACGGCGAAGGTGGAACAGGAGACCAGGAATGGAGTCGACGACCAGGTAAAATTTGCAATGGACTGTGTTGCGCCAATTTTTCTTAGTGTATTTAACTCCAGGTCATTGCGAACATGGTTTAGCTTGTTCATAAAGGCGTTATTCCACGCGTAAAGTTTGATAGTTTTCATGTTGTTTAGAATTTCCGTCATTAGCCTGGTTCGCTGATCTTTGTTCTTCATTTGCTTGATTTGAAGGTTTTTCATTATCTTTGCAATCAATCCGTTGAGTGGAACCATAAGTATCATCACTCCAACACCAGCAAGCATACTCAACCCAAGAAGCTGATATAGAGATATCATACAAAGGGTAATTTGGAACGGAGCGGACCAAAGCTGCATCCCAAACTGAGCCAGGTCAGAAAGTCGTTGCTGGTCAACGGCCATATGGTTTACGATGTCACCGGTTGTCTTTGAAGCGCGACCCTCGTTCGAGAGTTTCAAGGACTTTGTATAGATCATGGAAGTCAAAGACGACTTAACTCGCATACCAGTTTCAAATGCCCTCTGGAAATACTGGTGAAGGCAAGCTGTCTGGCTCACGGAAACGACGAACATGCCAAGAGCAATTGCGACACCCCGAACAACCGGCTGGGGCGTGTCAGAGCGATATGAGTCAATGAACGAGATAAGGAGACGCAGGAGCTGGGGCTGGACAAAAGCCAAAATGTCACTACCGCACTTGATCACGGCACCCCGGAAATATGGCGCACTAAACGCTCTAAAGAGGGCAAGCCATAACGACGGCTTCTTCTTTTTCAGCTCACAAGCCCACGTTTTCTCCAGCTCGTGACCGGTAACACCTGTGGTATCCCTGCGACGCAGATTCCACAAGTCATCTTGGGTGAGGAAGTTTTTGTAGCCGAACTTCATCAAAGGTGTCATCCAAGAGAAAGTCAAAACAGAGAAAATATCGGCATATTCGTACGGGCATTCGTCTTCGTCTCCAAGAGCGTCATACGCACTTTGTTTCTTCTCGATAAAGTATTCTAACACAAACTCGATTATGGCAAGGCCAAAGCCAACGGTAAACGAGATAAAATAAGGTAACTGATGTCGGTATAACTGCTGGGAGATAAGGGATCTGAGCTTAACGGCGTAGACGATGATCAAAAATAGCCAATAGAATAGAACGACCCCGTTCGGTTGCCGGCTCCTCCAATGCTCGTAGTATTGTACGGTATAAATAACGCCCAAAGATCCGAGAATAAGGATCGTCGTCCAGAATCTAAAGTCTCCAAACCAGATCTTGGGATAGGTCTCGACCTGAAGTGAGGCCTGGAGGGTGGTAACCAAGATAAGAGCCCATATAACCGACTATTAACCGTATTAGACCAACCAACACCAACAGCTTGTAAATAGGGTTCATGGATGAACTTACCAACTTTGCGTAGAAGTGCCAATTCTTCTGTACGGGCTGGGCGATTCGCTTATTGAGTAGGAACCATATGGCACCAGGGCCCATAACCAGACCCCATCCGGCCACCAGAGATACCCAGACATCTAGAAAACAAGGCGTGAAGTCGAATCTCGTGCCGCTTATCGGGCCCCATCCTTCGCTATCGCCGCAGAAAGGTTGCCGGCGGGCGAGGGCTGAAGGCAATGCGGAGCTGACATTGTTGAAAGTCGATGGAGCGGTTAGGACCACCTGGGGGAATCCATTCAAGGCCATCTTCTGGTCAATGAACCATGGACCGGAAAATGAGAGGAGTCAGCAGCAGCAGGAGGTGTTATAACACCCGGCGAGAAGGTGGGAAGGACAGAAACAAAGGGTTGTCGTGGGATTTGTTTCCTCGTGTCGGGGAATGATAACATTTATAAAAGCAACCAGAACTCGCGGGAGACGCTTGGACCCCACGGAAATGGGGCGCTGACTAAAGCAGAGGGCTGCCACGCCGCGGCTAGACTGCAAAGGGACTAGCGTCTGGCATCTTTATCCGAACTCTGTCTGTTGGCATACAAATAATGGAGAGTTGCATACCATACCTATATATACATCTGTAGACAGATTAGCACCAAAGTTATCAATCAGGTCAATTCTGCTGCTTTCAAAAGAATTCAAATAATAAGTACCAATCGTTTACCGTGACGGAGTATGTTGATGAATGTCGATGTAGCCTCGTGTTACGAGAAACCATGCTATGAAAATCTCTTCGCTGCAAGCCCAGCCAAAGATCCTCCAGGAAGCCTGCAGCCTAGCCTTGGATACTGTATTTGTCACCGCCGCTATTACTAATATTGACACAGCCAGGGTTGTTGTCTCCTACTACCACACCATGGGAGACCGAGGTCGAGCTGCTGGCACTAATTCCACCCCTCGATGCAGCGCGTGGCGGCTTCAACCACGAACACGGCATCGAAAACATGGGAGAGCTCCCAACCGTTGATCTGTTGAAAGCGGCACACGGAGCATCTCACCGCTAGCCAAAATAACTCGGAAAATATGACTCTTCGAGAATCGCAGCTACGCAGCCTAGTTTTTTCTGACACTTTTTGATGCAGCCAAGCTGAAGGCTAATTTGGTGGTTGACGGCAGAGTGGATTTTACTAACTAGATATGGACTAGCGCACAGTCATTGCTCCTCCTCCTCTAACGATATTTATATATATATAAACAGTGCAAAGATGTGAAAGGAGAGGGCCGTTGGACATCAAGACATTCCTAAATTTCAACTCTCAGAAGAAGACATTGTGGCCATGGCGCCAGGCACCGATAAGGGAGAAGAGTTTCTGAAACGGCCATTATACGGTGAGTGTACTCCGTACCCTCCCTACTCTGATTTGTGGGATGGCGGGGAAGCTAACCACAGGACGAACCCTCCTGGATCTATATTCAGTATTCGATCTCCCAGCAGGACTACTTGCATCTCTATCACATAAGCCTACTAGCGTGCCTACTCCCATTCCTCTCAAACCAGACGAGCGCCATAAGACACTAGAACAAGGGGAAAGGCCCGATGGAGTCGTCGGCGTTACGTCATGCTCGTTATGCCAGGTCTCCTTCCAGAACGTCCAGGAGCAAAGGGAGCACGTAAAGTCAGATCACCACAGATACAACCTGAAGTCACGAATACGGGGAACTCCTGTGTTAAACGAAGTCGAGTTCAACAAGGCCATTGGAGAGCTGGACGAGTCGATATCCGGGTCTGAATCCTCATCGGACGAAGAAGAGGAGGTTGAGGAAGGGCAGAAAACTCCTGATACCATACTCACTGCACTCCTTAAGAACAAGAGAAATATCATCTACACAGAAGCGGATGA